TTTTGATATCCATGTTATTATATTAGACAACCATCAATATATCCCATCATTTTATTCAGTATTAGGCAACCATGTAAACATTTATTCCAATCTAGTGAATAGGGATATTTTGATGTTCAATTTAGGGAGGACAAAAATTATCACCTGGCAACCCTGGCAGTGTGTCAATGAGCCCCGAAGCACTGAATAATAAACAATCAGAAGGGCCACTCTCAGATGCCGCCTTTGAAGTTTTTCAGCACGCGCGCCATGTTTTAGGAGGACACAAACATATGATTTGTGAGGTTATGCAATTGTTTACATTTATGTTTAATTATATTATATTTATGTTATTATATTTAAAACTGTTAATATAATTGTATAGTATGTCTATGATTGCCGTAAGTAAAATAAACCTGGTTTTTTTTCCAATGCACACCACATAAACAACACTGGTTCCCTTTAAAATCCTCGTAAAACATGGCGGAACGTCTGCGCGAAGGAGATGCGCGTACTTAATTTTCCGTGGAGAGTGGGCATTCTGTTTGTTATTATTACTGTGCCGAAGCACTCTGAGAACGAAAAGATAGGGGGATTTGTTATCAAATAGAGAGAGATACTTATAATAGCAAGTTAAACCTTATTTTTGATATGCTGAATATCATGGGAGAACCATTATTATATTTTAATGTAAATTCTGGGGTTACTATCAATATTTTAAAAGATGGTTTACCGATCATGATACAGACAATTACAACATCACTAAACCATGACAAAAACCACTTACTTCCAAATCATATCCATGAGTTGCGCCAATTGTAGGCAACTTACAATTTAAAGTGTTGCTGAGAGTAGCAAGAGATCCAATATTTTCTTAAAATAACACATAAACCAAAATCAAATAAATCAATAACAATTTAATTAAAACGTTAATTATATTTAAATAATGTAAGAGATTTAAAATAGATACCTACCACACTCAAAATAAACTTATATAAAAAATGTCTCAATCATCTTGGTTCTTCCTTATACAGCGGTGAGTAATTCGAACACTTCTTCTTCTTCTAATGGCGCTACAACCCTTTGTGAGTCTTGACCTGCTTAACGATGTTTCTTCCATTCCGCCCTGTCGGACACTTTCCTTCGCCACTGCCTGATGTTCATGGTTTTAAGATCCCTCTTACGTCGTCTATCCATCTTTTACGGGACCTTTCTCTTGTTGTTTCCTTGGGGCTTCCATTTCTGGACTACTTTTACAGCTCGATAATCTGGCATTCTTTCTAGGTGACCAAGCCAGTTACATCTTTGTGACTTTACAAATCTAGCAATATCGGCGATCTGTATTAGTTCATCCAGTTCGTCGTTCATTTTAATTCTCCACGAACCATCGCTGCATTGGGTATGGTCCAAATATCTTCCTTAGTATATTGCGCTCAAATATTCTCAGATGATTTTCATCAGCGGTTGAGAGGGTCCACGTTTCATATCCATATGTGACCACTGGTCTAATTACTGTTTTGTAGATTCTAAGCTTAGACTCACGATTCAGTAACTTACTTTACATTAAGTCTTTGTATGCATAAAAGCACTTATTACCGCTAAGAATCCGTGCGTGTAATTCTTGATTGATGTTGTTGTCATTTATTATCATCGAGCAAAAAGACAAAAGAGGGAATGTAAAGGTAGTGGGGGCAAAAATATTGTTAGACAGGAAGTGCCATCCTCAGAGGCCAGAAGGCCAAGAGAATCTTTCCTTGTTTAAGAAATCAAATTTAGTTGGGTTATGTTATTGTTTGTCCCAACTGTCACATGCAATTTTATTTATATTCAAGTTTTTTAACAATTGTGTCACATTTTAGACTGTTATCGGTAATATTTAATTAAAACTTTCTCGTCTAAGACACATTCTGAAAACTATTTTATAGCTACTGTTAATAGGTATTGGAAAATTTAAATTTGGCACATTCGCATTTCCGGATATGTCCGCCATCAGAGGTACTTTTTTGGTCTCCTTTTCATAACGATTAGATTAGTGTTGTTGATAAGGCATCACCTTGTCTAACTCCATTTTCAATATCAAATGCGTGTGTCATACCTCCATCTATTCTCACTATAGCTTTGGAACCCTCCAGAGTCATTCGTATGAGTTTAAACAACTTATTGGGTATCCCTAACATAGATAGTCGCTTATCATCTTATTTTAAATACGAAGACTAGTGGCCAATTTAATAGATTTTCCCGTTTTTACAATGTGTGTAGAACAGTTCATAATTTAAAACTTTCAATATTTTTAATGCCCTTAGTAAGGCATAAGCTATAATTTTTTGAATTGATCTTGTAGATTATAGATTTCAATCAGTCATTTGGTCCCTTAGGTCATTCCACATTGAGGCCTAAAAAAGTCTTGTAGATCTTCCCTTACTATGACCTAATAGATCTTTTGTGTATATCACTCATTCATGTTTGGTCCCAAAGATCTAGGCTTCTAGGAAAGTACCCATTTAAGAGAGATATTTGATATCTGTTATCTGGTTTAGTTTTAAAAATACATGTTTTAGTTACTTATGACATTGGAGAATAGTTGACATTTAGTTTCAGATATGTTTCTCTGTATTTACTCCGAATCTGCCTGTCCAGTTGGCCGATGACCGGTTTCTGTAAAGATCATCTTCCAGGTATAAGTTCCAGTTAGAACATGACGCTAATTTAATTTTAATTTTTTCAGAACTCCGCCACAATTCTCCACTACTAGTATCGACAGCCAGCTGACATGTTCCAGTACTCCAGTAAAGCACTTGAAAAGGGTGCGCCAATGTACTCTTACAAGAAAGACAAATAATTCTAGCGGAAACGAAGATTTAGATGATTTGGATCAAAATACTGACTTTGATCCAGATTATGGTTAAATTAAAAATTTCTAATACGAATATATTGCTATCGATTGTGAATTTAAAGTTTTATAAGGAGGGTAATACTAATAGTGAATCACTGCATATGACGATTTTGTTCCACTGGTGTTTACAGCACAATTCAAGGGCTTTGTATATAGCACATGCTTCAGCAGAAAAGATGCTGGATTGATTATTTAAAATAAATGATTTTTTAATCTTCATTTTTGGTACAAAGTACTCACTGGTTGTACATGTTGGTGATTTTGACCCGTCTGTATAGATCACAATATGGTCTGAATAGCCACTTAAAATTTCTTTGTGAGTAGTGTAACAAAGCTCGTAACAAAGGGGAATTTATTAACTTGAGTTCGTTGCAAGTTATAATTGCCCTTGCAAGTGGTGAAGAGTTTTTTTAATGAAGTCTGTGGATGTTAAATCAGCTGTATTTAATTCATTAATTATTTCTGCATTATAAATATCACGATAGTGTTAGTTTAGGAAATATTTGCTTGCCAGATATTCTCTGCGCAATGAGAGTGGGTTTTCAGATGCTAGAACTAGGGTGGCTTCATTTGGAGTGCTTTTCATCAATCCTAACACAGTTCTTAGAACTTTAAATTGGATTCTATCAAGTTTACGTAAAATTGGTTATGCTAGCTGACCCATACACCAAACTTTTTTGCATCTGAGTGTAATAAGGGAAGGTAACCCCTTTTTGATTATAAAAGTGCTAAATTCGTAGAAAAAGAAATTTTGTACCTAAGAAATGATTACACCAAAATTAACTATATAACAATGTAATACCTCTCATAAAATATATATAAAATATAAATATATTAATAACAGTTACTTATATTTAAAATAATTTCCTCCACAAACAGTGCAATGAAGACTATTGTTATTTTTAGATGAATGTTCGTCCCTTTTTTCATTAGCTTCATCTTTAATTTGTCTAGTATATATTTCGTTTAGTATCCATCCTTCCAAATATTTCATGACGTCGTTAATAGGAAACTGACCACCATTGAAGAACATTTTGACTATTTTCTCAAAAATCCATATATACCTTTCAGATGGATCCACCGGTACCTCTACGTAGTACGGTTCGTAGTGATGCGGATTTCCAGTTCTGCGCCATGTAAAGTATTGCTGAAGAAGCCTTGATGATAGTCCTGCGAAATATTCCATTACAGCGTACATGATTTCTTGGTGCGCTGAATTTCCAAATGCGTTTCTAACTGCATCTTTGAAATATCTAAAAACAAGCTCTATGGCTCTTTCTACTAATTCCATTATCATACCTTGGACATCGGTTCCAAACTTGTTTATTAAGGTTAAGGCAAAACCAGCAAATACTTTAACATTAGGCAAAGACCAATTATTTAAAGAATAAGTATTTATCATAGAATTAGTATCACTTATTGATATGTTCGATTCTGAAGGCAAATTTGACAAAAAGGCACTTGCTTGTTTCTTATTCATACCTATAAATTCGTTCATATTGATTGTTTGGCCGTTTAATGTTATTTCTCCTGCGGTTGCGGAGAAACGAAGATCGTTTTCGTTCATTAACTTCCTATTTCTTGTAAGAGCGGCAAATACATCGTCTTTATTTGGAATATTCCGTATGGCCTTGATAACTTCCGCTCTACCTTTTACTAGATTACCATCGTTTTCTCGAATTGTTGTTTTTAGTAGCCGGTCAAAGGTTTTCCTAGAAAAGAAGAAATGTATTAGATACGAACTTGTACCATTTGTAAGGTTCCTTTATGCCTCAGCAAAACAAAAGATTGTTTCCAACGAATATCATAAAAAAATATAATTTTTTTTATCTGAAAATAAAGTCTTTTAAAACAATATTAATTATAAAAATTAATGGGAAAATCGCAGTAGTGGCTGTATACCATCGTTTAAAAAAACATACAGAAGTTAAAACACTTCACAATTATTGTATTTTGGTATAAAAACATGTAGTTAAAACTTTTTAAAAAGTGTCGTCAAAATTTATATAGTAGCATAACGTTTTCGATCTAATAAGATCATCCTCAGTGCCTTATGTAGTTGAAGCTAACAATAAAGTTGTGGCTGTGACATCCATTTATGGGTTTACATCATTCCAAACTTAAATTATGTTGTGACAAAACAAATTTTATAATTTTTAAAATAAAAAAAAAATTACATTAGTTTCGAAACACACCCATACCTCGTCATGTTCAGCTGTCTTCCTAAATTATATTCCTGTCACCTCAGTCAGTTGGTCTGTGTCATTTCAACTGACAAATACCACGTGTTAATAATCGAGCAGGGAGACATGTAGTCCCTAAAGTAATAAATTTTATCCAATGTCATCGACCTAGAGTCACAACATAATTTAAGTTTGGAATGATGTAAACCCATATATGGATGTCACAGCCCCAACTTTATTGTTAGCTTCATCTACATAAGGCACTGAGGATGATCTGATTTGATCGAAAACGTTAAGCTACTATATAAATTTTGACGACACTTTTAAAGTTTTAACTATATGTTTTTATACCAAAATACAACTGTGAAATGTTTTAACTTCTGTATATTGTCTTAATATTCATTATTTCTAATACACAAAGAAAATACTAGTGCTGCACAGAGGTGCAACTGTTGTACCAATCTCTATATTTCAAAGTGAGAGATTTTTAAAACGAAATTTCTTTTTTTTTATTTTTGTTGATTACCAACTCCAACTTCCAAAATCAATTAAAATGAAATAAGTAACCAAAATAACCTGTAATTTTTTGTCTTTCATCAAATGATAATACTCGTATTGTCACGTCAACTATCTCACAGAATTTGTAAGTTCATTGGAATTGTCTTGACACCTCACAATTTACAGTTAAAAATAGGATCAGTTGTCATTATGTTGCGTAACATTAATCAGCCTTGATCGTGTAATCGAACGACACTGACTGTGAAAAAGTTAATGAATAATGTCACTGAGACAGCGATCATCAAAGGAAAATATAAAGGAGGGAATAGCTTGATCCCGCGTATCTATGAAGACCTAAACGCAAAAGTTGAAAGAAAATAGCAAGTCCAACCCACTATAGGGTCAGTACAGTATCTACGAGCAATCAAGTGACAAAGGCAATAGGTTAATAAACCTAGCAAGATCACCTAAAATGGTGATTGCGATCACATACTTCGCTCGAAAAAATACACATAAATGCACCTGGAAATAACCAGACGGACTTAGATAGATCATGACAAATAGGGATATCGAGCCAGTGATGATGATGAGATAGTTAGAAGCTAGGTGACGAGCATGCAAGATACATTTATTTAAAAATACAAATTTTTAGATCATTTTTTGTAAATTTATTTCTACTAATTATGCAATCGTTATACACTGCAATCGCTTACGCAATAGTTATTAATACATGACGATTAATATTTTAGCATTTAAATTCGCCCTAAGTAAAATATCTAGCGCAAAGTAAAAACAAAAAAGTTCCGTACCTGTGTCTGTTAGATCTCAATGAGTCATGATAATCTTCTAAAACTCTACCCTGTGTTTCGTCTATTATTTGTCCAACCGTTCTGAAATTATAGACTGCATTGCCGAAGAATAATACTGAAGAAGCCAACTGCAATATCGTCAATGCGGACGGAGTCTGCCTGTGGTTTATCCACATATCGAAAACATCGTAGCTGGAGTTTATGATACCAATACCACTAATTCCTATGTTTGCCATACTAATTGCATTAACAGCTAAGCCAACACCCTGGAAATTAATACATAATATACAAGTAATGATCAACGTATACCAACAATACCGCTATAGGACAAACACGCTAAAGAAAACATAGTATAGTTCTATAACTTACTACTTAACTACTTGCCATCTTATTTCGCTTATGCCAGGGACAATAATGTCGAGTCTGTATATCTCTTAGAGATAATACAGGGTGTTTCAAAAAGGTGTGTCATAAATTAAATCACGTATTCCGGGGACAAAAATAAATTGATTGAATCCAACTTATCTTAGTACAAAAGTGTACACAAAAAAGTTACATCCCTTTGAAGTTACAAAATAAAAATTGTTTTTTGCATTATCTCCTAAATTACTTAACATTTTGTAATAAAAATGGATACGTTACTTTCTTGTTCTGAAAGCATTTTTCATAAAAAAAATCAAATGAATTTGTGGCATCATTATACATCATGTATGTAGCATCATTATATACAGGGTGGTGAATCGTCGAACGGGCCATAGGAAACTCAATGAGAAATTCTAAATTGTAGAATTCCTGCTTCCCTAATTATTTTACACCAAAAGTCATGGGAAACTATTTGTAAAGGACTCAAATATGTATCGAAAACAATTGTTAAAATTGTTCTATGACTTAAACGTATTCCAAAATTTTGCTAAAATATAATACATTTTCAGGCCACCCTAAAAGTCAGGCCAGACGCCGTGAAAAGAATGTGTATTACGTGTTGCGTTTTGTCATATTGACGTTTCTAATATTGACAATATTTAAATCAACTATATTATATTTATTCATGATTTAAATGGCCAAATTTTGTGATTTATTATTTAAAAGAAAAATAAGTTGATTAAAAAATGTAGGTACTCAGTTAAGGAGAAAGAGCAATAATAAAAATGTTTTATTCATGTTTTATTATAACATTTGTTATAGTTTTATGTTTAGAAATTATCATATATTATTATTAGGAATAAAGATCACAGTAACAGTATATTGGAATTCATTGAATTGTTGTATAACTTAACTTAACTGGAATTAAATTTTAGTGTATTAGAATATCTTACGTTACATAAAGATCCGGTAGTGACAGGAAAAGGTTCGCGCTATTGCCTGAATACAACATTATGCGATTTTTCGTCAACTGAGTACATTTCATTATATTGATCGATTTGTAAACAATATAATTTATTGTTCACAAGTAATATTGTTCACTAGTAATATTTAGTAAAATTCATTGTTTATAATTTAATCATAAAATAAAAAAAATTGACAATTCAAATTGTCAAACATCTGACATTATTATGATAAAACACAAACGTTATAATATTATTCTTGTATTACGTGTGGCCTAACTTTTAGGGGTGGTCTGAAAAATCTATTATATTTTTGCAAAATTTTGAAGTACATTTGATTCGTAGAACGGTTTTAACATTTGTTTTTAATTCAGAATTTAGTCCTCTACAAATAGTTTTTAATGACTTTTGATCTAAAATAATTAGGGAAGCAGCAATTCAACAATTTAAAATTTCCCATTGAGTTTCCTATGGTCCGTTTGACGATTCACCACCCGGTATAACCGATAATGATAGGTAATTTCGACGGTATTTAATTCTACATAATGGACCCAATTTTCAGGATTTTGAAATAATTAACGAAGAAGAGCAATTAGGAGGTACTGTATAGCTGCCTGCCACTTTCCACCCCTATGTATCCAGGGTGTCGTATGAGCCGACTCAGTATCGGACTTTGTGTTGACATGGGCGATGTGGCTGGTCACCTTTCACTATGAATGATGCACATTCGCATAAAGTCCGAGAGGTGTCTTGTTCTTATAAGTAATGCGGCTGACAATCCATCACTATAAAAAATAGATTTTTATATGGACCTTCTACTTTTTTTACAGGAGCCAAATGAGGTGCAAGAAAATTCAGACTGAAAATTCTGACCTTTCTTCTGGTTCAGGGAAGTTTACATTCCGGAAACTAAAGAACAATGCTCTGAAGATGAAAGATGCTCTAACGATGAAAGAGTAATCACTTCACCTAATGTCATATCGATACAAATTTTTAGTAGTTGGGCATACTCAAAATGAGGGTGATGCGATGCATGCCCTCATAAAAAAGAAAAAAAAACATACCTGAAGGGAAACTCGCTCTATATTCCATCGCAAATGCTATACCTAGCTTGGCTAAGAAAACTGGACTACAAAATGGCCGTATACTACAGAAGAAATAGCGCTCTGGTGCACTCTGAGACTGATGTATCGATATCTAGGAGAGATTAGCTCCATAGCATGGAATTGATCCACCCTGATGGCTTCAGTCGATCCTGATACTCCAGTTATTCGAGGCGAATCAATATAAAGGAAGGAGCAGTGTTACGACAGTTCCGAAAGGTTTATCTCACATATGCTCGATCGTGGTCGACAATTCGCTCAGTCTGGGTATCAGGCGACACTCAGGTTCAATCAGTCATCTCTAGGTATGCCGGGTTTTGTCGGGAGTGACCATCCATTGCTTAGCTTCTCAACAATATTAAACCTCGTACAAAAAAAAATTAATCAAAGGAGAGCAAGCAGAAGAAACGCAACCTTCTCCCGAAACTAGAGAATGACAAGTAGTAAGTGTCTGTACTAATATCAAACATTCTACTAGTAAAAGAATCATTTTAGTAATTATTATTATTATAAATCATTATTATTATTGGATAGGCCAATATAAAAACAGATACTCATAGTAGCTGATCCAGTTTGAAGAGGTACAGTTCCAGTAGTGGACTAACAGACCAGACCAGAAGAGGATTTGATATGATAATGAATAATAATACTTACCTGACCAATATTGACTCCACGAGTAATTAATTGAGACACAGCCATATTTGCTCCCGCTCCAACAAATCCCAAAGATCCTGCCACAATATTAATATAGATTCCTCGCGCTTCTGAGTTGAGAATACTCAAATTCTGCAATTAATAATTATTATTGAAATTTTAATATTATATCAAAATAGAAAAAATTTCGTTGATAATCATCAGAGATCATCGATCTTTTGCAAGTTATGTTTGTTGTATCGAGTAAAAAGGGTTGCCAGCTGTACAGTAACCAACAATTCAGTAGCATTATGAAATCAGGTATTAATATAAAACTATATAATAACGGTCATTCTGTTGGTAGGGTGGGGGGTTGTTGTCTCTATGGAAGATCGTTACTCCATCTCAATCTTTCCTCGAGTCCATCGCTTTGGATGACATATTTGTTTTTGCATTTTTCTGTTATTCTTTTTGGGTTTTTTGTTATTCTAGACTTTTGTTAATCGAATTGTTGCATGCTAAAAATGGAACCAATATAGTCAACAGTCTTCCTTAATCCTCCAGTTGTCGCGCCAATTCTCACAGAGTCGATGAGTTTTCTTACTCGATTTCTTATTAATACTTAGTTAACTTATTTTATCTCAATAGTTTCTTATTTTAACATGATTTAGCTTTCAATAGTTTGTACCAATTATTATATTTTCTTTTTGTCAAGTACCTTATTTGATATCTCGTACGTTGACGATCACTATAGCGAGAGTCCTTTTGCCTTCCGCCTTACAGAAAAACTGTTCAGCATGTCGGATGCCGCTCTATTTTTGAATGTTTCGAAATCATGACTGTTGTTTTCGATCCATTCGTATCCATCGGCATTTGATTTTATCCTCAAGTTTATTTGTAATAAGGAATAAGGAGTAAAGGAGTATACTTCTTCTCGCAATTTGTACTTCTTCTCTTACTATAAAGTGTTTAATTAAACGCTTTCTATCTTTAAATTTACATCAAATAGAAAATGCGTGTTAGATATCATCAAAATGTTTTACATGTTAAAATATATTTTCAGTTAAATATGGAATCCAGCGATCGTCTGTTTTAGATTTATTAGTCTAAAAAAATTGTTAATATAAAATGTTATTGTATATGATTCAGTTTTTAATTTCCTTCTGAATATGTCGCTACAAATATACTATCATTATAAATAAACTGAATGAAATTATAACACTAGCAGAAGAACGAAAGAAGGTTTTAGGTTGGGAATATCATGCACCGATCCTATATGTATGAGGCAAGTGCTAGAGAAACCATTAGTATAGAGCAAACCGGCATATCTATGTTTCATGGACCTTAAGAAGGCATTCGATCGGGTCAAATAAAAAGACGTTATCCATTTACTGTATGCAAGAGAGATACTTTTAAACAGTTTAGAGTTAATTTTAAAATAGGATCATCATTACTTACTTCGTCGTGAGTTATCTTATCAGCCAAACCAAACGCACTTCTAGTAATACTGTAAACACCAGCTACGGCTCCTACAGCCGCTGCACCAATAAGAACAGGAGGCATGATAACACTTGATACAGCACCAGCAAACATAAGAGTACCAGATCCTACGCCAGCAACCGTACTACTGATATCACCAACTTTTAGTACCGTGTTTATTACTGCACAGCTGGGAGTTTCGCGTCTTTCGAGTAGTACTCTGTCATTATCTACTTGGTATCTAAAAATTAAAGTAGAATTTAGTTAGAATAGGATATCTAACACAGATATAAAATCATATTTTCAGCGAATAGACAAAGATAATAATCATATTTCCCCTTGGTCTTCCCTCCACATTCCTCATGAACGCCATACGATTATTTCCGATCCAGCTTATACGTAAGAAGCCGCGGCAGGGTTGCCTTATTACATATTTGAATTAAAACATTGAATTGATTAAAAAAATTGACGATCAGTGGCGCGGTTATATTGCTATTCAACATACAGATTCGCATTTTTATTTGACGAAATTGTAACCTAATTTCCAAAAAAAAAAACAAGATAATTTTGGCAACATCGCCATTCGTCTTTATTTATTATGCTTTATGAAAGAACAACCCACTAACCCATGCAATACGCATGGCATACCAAACTATAGAACATCCCAGAGGTACTTTTCAGTGCGTCACAGTTTTTCGATTTCTTTCTCATGCATTAAGTTGAATATGACGGAGAAAACGGTAGTTCGGTGATTAAACAGAACTATATTGCAGCGTTAGAATAAGCTTACATACATAAGCGGTTCTTTCCTAACCTACGTTTGATTCGTTGATATTTAGATGCGCGCTTTCTCTAGCCAATCAAATACGCCTATTACTGACAGTTGACGTAACATTTCGTCCATGCTGGCCATTCTTTCGAAGTGTTCCAACAGCAAGTGACGGCTGTCGTTTAGGTCAGTATTTGCAAAGAATATAGACGCTATATAATATATTTATATTCTTTGGTATTTGTTTTGTATAATTTTATTTTGTAATTTGTTTTACATAGTATTGTGATTGTGGTTTTATTTGTATACCATTTCACACACAAAATTTCATTAGTTTTGTCAAATCTATAATCATATGCATTTTTCTTCATTAGCTTACTCTTCATTAGCTTTCTCCATTACTGGACATTTTACAGTTCCTGTTGCCTTTACATTTGTTTGTTTCAGATATATCATTAGTTGATATGTCATGAAATGTTTATCGAAAAAATTTCATTTGTTGATGGTTCAGGAAACTGTTTCAAAATATCAATTACTATTTTAGCTTCAAGTGGTCTATTTTAATAGTACTACTTGGTTTTTTTTCGACAACAAACGTGAAAACCATAATCATATTCAGTGGAACCAGTTATCATCCAATTCTTATATTCACATCTGACTGGCTTCTCTCTAATTAACTGTTTAGCTAAGTTATGACAAAAATATTTGACCACGGAGTTGTCTAAGGAAATATCTTTATGGAAACATCCCCACTGGCAGTACTTGTCTATAATTTTATCTGCTAAAAGTCTAATTTTGTACATACAAACGTACAAAATAGAATTTTATTTTATTTATGTAATTAATTTGTAAGTTACCTAATAAATTTTTGAAAGCAGTCTTTTTGTGTTACTTATACTATGGCCAAAAAGCAGTAGTGAGAATAGAAGATATAACATCAGAAGAAATAGAAGTACAAAGAGTTGTTCGACAAGTGTGTATACATAAACCAGTATTATTTAATATGTATACTCGGAAGACATATTAAGTAAGGCAATGGATTAACGAAACGTAGACATTAGAATTAATGACATAATCATAAATAACCTGAGATACGCTGATGATACAGTTCTTTTAGCCGAATCACATGAAGACCTACAGATACTTCTTAATTAGGTGACCGCAGTAAGCGAATATGGACCATCACTCAACAGAGCAAGAAATATATGACAATAACAAAGACAACTCAGGACATTCGTGAGATATATGTACAGAATCAGCTTATTGAAATAGTAAGAGAATTCAAATTCCTAGATACAACTATTAATGAAAACAATGACAGCTCTCAAGAAATACAAATCAGAATCAAACAGGCCAGAAGCGCATTTACAAGAATACAAAGGCTTCTCTGCTGTAGAAACTTAAACCTTAAGTTAAAAATACGACTGCTGAGGTGCTACGTGCTATCTGTATTATAATACGGGATGGAAGCGTGGACACTGAAGAAAATTCACGTGAGGAGACTGAAGGCATTCGAGATGTGGATGTACCGAAGAGTACTAGAGATCTCATGTATAGATGGAATAACCAACGTTGAGGTAATGTGACGAATACATAAGGAAAGAGAAGTACTAACAATTAACATCGGAAAAGTGGGATATATGGGTCATGTGATGAGAGGAGATAAATATCTAATACTCCAGGTCATTATGCAAGGAAAAATCAGAGAAAAAGATCCATAGGAAGGAGACGTAACTCATGTAATAACGACTTATTTAGAGCCGCTGTCTCGAAATTAAAAATCGCTGTGATGATTGCCAAATTTCGACGCGCAGACAGCCTCTTGAGAAGAAAATACAAAAATTCAATAAATGAATCATTTTGTCGTCAATTTCAAATTTTTCCATATTTATAAATTGAATAAACAATATTGTTTACTTTTTATTTTTATTAATATACGGGATTACCCCCTGTGCCTAAGTACGATCCTGGCATCTGTCAGATTCTTCAATAATTATATGAAATAATTCTCGACACACCTTATTCATTCTATGACGTCATAATTAATGACGCACTGAAAAGTACCTCTGGGATGTACTTTAGCTCTGTTCTGTAGAGATGAGCGTTGAATTAACGAATTGTTTTACTCGACCGTTTATTCGAAGCCAACTATTTGATTAAAAAAAAACTACGTTTTGTGTAGACGTAAACAGAGGAACAACAAATATCTGATTGTGGGCTTATTTCTCCTTCTAGTTTTCCTTTTCTTTGCGTGGTTCGTCATCTTAAGTTCCGACGCTTAATATCGGTTCTTTGAGCCATGTTTCCTTTTACAATAGGTAGGATGCTAACCTGGCCCATCAACCTTCCTCTTTTACCCGGGCTTGTTACCGGCTGTGGGCATGAACGCGACTTCTGAGTTACTCAATCCACCCAGTCATCGCGCTCATAACCCCCAGGCAGAGTTGCACATTGTTCAAATGCTCAAAAGACAACAGGTCAAATAAAACTAATAAGTTTGGCAACGTTGAACTTCCCTTCTTTTATTATTTCCACCATGATACTATGAGTAACAAGATAGGATCTTCCCGTAGCATAAAATCGGTCGTGTTCGCGCATGCCGTCATTGGAGAGTAGAATTTGAATTCTTGTTAAAGTTAAATGGGATTTGTATGCATTTTGTGATGAAATTACTAGACAAAAATAAGTTAAGAGGTTTAATAATTACAATAATCGTACACATAAGGACATCTCCAAACTATTTATTAAAGATTATTTATTGATACATACAAAAAACTGACATTTCGAACGTCCAACTTTCCAATGACGTCACGACTTATGCGCAATGTCTTATCTTCTAAACATAGTATCATGATTTCCACTAAAGCATTTTCGACGATATCGAGGGCGGACCTAATATACCTCTCTCTTTTTAAACAGGTGTTTCTCACTCCATCCCACGTAAGATCCATACCGACCATCAACTTTTACCTACACTGTGTGTGTATATATATATATATATATATATATATAATATATATATATATATATATATATATATTGCCGAGCTTTCGGCATCTTCTCTGATGCCTTCCTCAGGGCTTCCGAGGTCTCAGTCTCCCGAGCCCCCAGACACTACTACACTGTTCACTGATCACTGCGCTGTCACTACTAGAAGGCATCAGAGAGGATGCCGAAAGCTCGGCAAAATGGATATCGACGAGGTTCAACCCGGAAGACTGGTGAGTTTGATATTAATTTTAGTAATAATATTAATCTTAGCTCTAGGTTTCATTTCGAAGCAAACTTGGAGATAAATGTTATCTTACCTTCCATTTAATGGTAACACCATAATACTTTCAGGTAACTTGTTATTTTTTAAATAATCTTGCCAATTCGAATACACTCTGCCACCGTGATCTATAAAAATTCTGCAAGGTTCACCTACTTCTAGTCGGCACTTTCTTAAAACAAATATTGGGCTCGGAGATATATCAATATGAGGATTATATTTCGGATCTTTTTTTCTACGAGTTTTTGCTTGTTCCTCAGTTGGCTCTAACACGACATACATAAAAGCTATTTCAACTTGATCTTTGTATTCGGCATATAAGTCTAAAAATGTTAATATTATAAATACATACATATACATATCATATAGGTATAAATAAAACATTTTACCATACACTCTACACGAAGTTTTGAAAAGTATTTTATTTAGTATAAAATCTTTGTATTTACAACCTACTTTAAAAAATAAGTATTAAGCAAAAAACGAGATGTGCCAGAGGAATAGGGAGCATATCTTTCTTATGATCTACGCATGGTGCGATGGTTTTTAGTACTACTACTACTTGTCGGTTTATAAGGTTCTCCGCCGTTTTCCGACTTCCAATCGCCACTTAGTCCGGTCGTTCCATAGGTCTTCTTCTATGGCCCTCTCTTTCAGTTCTTTATTTATTCCTTCGCTCCAACTTTTTCTCGGTCTACCTCGTTTTTTCTTTCCTTCTGGTTGCCATTTTAATATTTGGTGGAGTCATATGTCGCCATGTTACCTAATCCAACGGTAACTTTAACATCATAACATATTATAAAAAATACTGTAAACCAAATGTAACTAATTATTTGTTAACGAGTTTTTACCCATATATTTAGTAGCTACATTCATGTACTCCTAGTAAGTATTAACCACACTTTGCATTAACCTTAGTCAAAATTTCAACCTCATGTTCTTTTTAATTAAGTGGTTATATATTTTCTAGGACACTGATGATGGAATATGGATCCCGAAAACGTTTTGTCTAATTAGCCCGTTTGGGTTTTAAATATATACCTTTTACAAAGGTTTTTAATATATGGTATACAGCCAATTACAGGAACGTAGATTCCTTGTGAATTTTAATATTTCTTTGGGGAAGTTGTTTTGTTGTTAGGTCATCTGTGATTGTTCGTTTGATTCCCATTATTTCTCTAATGCGTTCGTTGGTAATATTTTCTCTTTGCTTTACTTTACCATTGCTTCAAATGCTGCTTCGTGTAAGCAGTTTTTTATATGTTCATATAACTGGTCGATATTCTTAGGGGCGGGAATTTGTAGCTGATCATCCAATCTATTTTTGAATAAGTCTTGGGTACTTGCTTCATATAAGCTTCTGATGTTCTTTAAGGATAGATCTTCAGAGACTGGTGGCCGGGAGTATGGAAAAGAGTACGGTATAACAATGAATGTCAAGAAGATGAAATTTATGAGAATATCGAAAACTCAAAGAAATAACGAGAATCTTCTAATAAAAGGAACCAACGTCGAATAAGTGGACAAATACGCATATCTGGGAACAATGATTAACTCCACAAATGATTACATTCAGGAGATCAAAATCAGAAGAGAAAAGGCTTGAGCAAATTTCAACAAAATGAGAAGAGTGTTATGTACAAGGGATTTAAAATTGGAACAGCCAGACTGTGTATCTGCATGACGTGAGTTATGGATTAGTTGTGATGGCTTCGTTTTTGAATGCACAGTACGCAGACATTCTGTTTCTCTATGGCTGGAGTGATGGAAATGCATCTGCAGCACGTCGAGAATATCAGAGTGTTAACAATCCTGTTTCCGGTATTAATCCTGGACGTTACGGTCCTGGTGTAGACGCCCAAATTTTGCGTCAGAACGGTTTGTCGACAGTTAAATGTCTCGCAATGGAAGGTCTGGTCGGTAGTGCACAACGATGGACGCTACCCTTATCATTACACGCCAGTACAAGGTCTTCAACACGGTGATCCAATTAGAAGGGTAAATTTTTGCCGCTTTTGTTAAATGCAGACATCAACGATGGTAATTTTCTTAAAAAGTATTTTATGGATGGATGAATCTAGTGTTAATAAAGAAAATATAACAAATTTTCACAACCTGCATTACTGGGCACATGACAATCCTCATCTATCGAAAGAAACATCTTTTCAGCAAAAATTTAGTGTCAACGTTTGGGTAGGAGTTATCGAACGAGAGTTAACAGAACCTTACTTTTTGCCAGGCAGGTTAAATAGTCAAGTATACTTAAACTTTCTAGAGAATTAATTACCACCACTCTTAGAGATTTGCCCCTCGCCCTCAGACGAAGAATGGTGTACCAACATGATGGATGCCCTGCACATTGTGCACGTGCTTGGCTTGGTTCAACAATCACTATCCCAATAGGTGGATCGGACGAACTTTTTTTTATTTTTTTTTTTATTTTTATAATTATGTTTATTTACAATCTACATCAAAAAGAGTATTAAGTAAATGTGATACAGGTTTTACGCGTGAAGGGGAGACATCCAATGATGTCTCACCTTATTCTACTTTGGTTTAGTTCTGAAGAAGGTCTTGGGGCCAGGTTCTATGTAATCTTCTTGTGGCTGGTCCATTGTTGTATAGTTCCCTTACTAGCTCATTTTCGTGGTGAATGGTACGTTCATTTTGTGACTCCGTGGCTCGATGAATTTCTTCTCTGATGAAAGGAACCTTTAAGTCATAATGGAGTGTTTGGTTACTTATGTACCATGGCGCATCCACTATCGATCTTAGTACTTTAGACTGGAATCTTTGGATAATATTCAGCGACGTTGGCTTTGCACAGCCCCATAGGTGTAGTCCGTAGAAACCAGATAGGTTTGAGTATGGCTTTGTATAGAAGAATTTTGTTTTGGATGTTAAGTTTTGATTTACGTCCAAGAAGCCAATACATTTGTCGGAATTTTAAGTCGAGCTGCCTTCTTTTGGTCTGGATATGTTTCTTCCAAGTGAGTCGTTGGTCAAGATGGAGGCCAAGGTATTTAGCGTCTGTTACTGTTGGTATTCTTATATTTTCCATCCTTACAGGTGGGCATATATTGTGTCGGTTGGTAAATGTTATTTGAGTTGATTTTGTTTACGGATGGGAGGAATGGTTGTGTATGGTTTCTTTAGCTTCTTAGTGGCCTTCCATAACGTCTGGTCATTTGCTGTAAGATTTTTAATGTAATGTTCGAAGGTTTCGTTGTTTGCGGCTTTGATGGCTACTCCAAGTTGCCTTCGTAGTCTACTGAATATATGTAGGTCTATGTTATTTCTAGATCTTTGCCAAGTTCTCCTCGCTCGACGTTTTTCAGCAATGAGTTGGCGAATGTGCAGGGGAACATTTGTGGTATGTGTTGGTTTGCGTTCAGTTCGTGGTGAAGTTATAGGGTGAGTTATAGACGGCATCGTCCACTTTATACAATATCGGACGAACTGAACCGATTTTGTGGCCTGCTAGATCGCCAGATTTAAGACCGTGTGATTATCACATCTAGGGCAGATTCGAAGAACTTGTTTATCAGAGAACTTTCTAATCCGAACTAGAGCTCATTTAATGGAAAGGATTATCGAAGCAGCTGAAATTATAATAGCAGAACTGAGGTTAAAAATAACCACATCAGAAATACGACGCAGGGCAAGAGCGTGCCTTAGGAATGGTGGTTCTCATTTTGAACAACAATGACTGTTTATGTACATACTTAATAAGGCATAATAAATGTTGCAAAAAGCATGATGTATCGTTGTTGTGTTTTACCTTTCTTACCCGTTTCATTAATGAAGATTACATTAACAATGCATTAAGATTCACGAAGGGTTTTTGCAATCTGATCAGTAATACGTAAGGCCTTTTGTATGTCAGGGAAGTATCTCGCTTAGATAATTATTTTTAAAAATAAAATAAACGAGCAGCCTTATGTTCGAATATTGACAAATTTAACTTTATTTCGGAAACCTTAACAGTTTGAGCGATACATTATTAGCAAACAATTTTGCAAATGGCGTCCCCTATTCCTTAAAAAATTTCCATCGACCTACCAAACACCCAGTATATTGTTGATTATTAGGATTGGAATTTTAATCGTTCTTATGTCTCGTCTTTCTAATATTTCAGTGACACACCGACTTTTTTTTAGTACTGTTCTAATATACTATTCTATGAAATATAATATAGTTATTAAAAATATAATTGCCGTACTTACTATTATGTTTTAAAATAATCTTGTACAAATTTTTAATTTGTTTATTTTGAGCTTTGTCATATCCATTCCCTGTTTCTTGAACTGGTTGGCCAAACAATGCAAAACCAATTTTCCTCTCTAACAGCTCATGTTGGTCGAAAGCAAAACTATCGTAATCTCGATCGCCAAGTCTGTCTGCCATAATTTTTTGAAAAGCTTCCGAGGTCATTTCGTTGCTCTGTAAAGAACCATCTAATCCATTTACAATCGTACGATCCACAATCAAAAAGTCTCGACAATTTTGTAGACATAATAAAAATGAATCCCGGCTCGAATTCGCATCATTTCCCATTAAAAATGAAAGAATATTTGGACAGCCGTTTATATTTTGAATAATCACTGCTGCGCATGCTTCAGACTGAATTAGAGCAGATAGATGACCGAAGTTAGCATCTTCTACTGCATTACAAAGCGCCGGGTGATAAGCTCTGTTTTCGACATCCCATCCAATAATATAAAAGTATTCATTTAAAATTTTGGAAATTTCTTCGTCTCGTAAATATTTAAAAAATGTATTTGAAAGCTCCTCCTCCGAATTGTGCATATATAAAAGTAAAAATTTTCTCTAAAAACATGACAAAATATACTATATATATATTATATATATATATATATATATATATATATATATATATATATATATATATATATATCTATATATATATATATATATATAAATATATATAAATCCTACACAAGAAAGGAGATAAAGCAGATATAAAAAAACTACCGTCCTATAACACTCCTCAATGTAATGTATAAACTCACTAACAAACTAACAAAAAATTTATAGATTGACGACAAAATTCGATGGATACCAGTCGAAAGAACAAGCTGGTTTTAGAAAGGGATTCAGCACAAGTGACCATTTACTAAGTATGAAATTCACATTTCTCTATACATAGCGTTCATAGATTTCGAAAATGCTTTCGACAGTGTCGAACATTGGGCAGTGAAAAGTTCTTTGATTAACAACAGAATTGACCACAGATATACGGAACTAATAGCCAATATATATGTAAGGAAGCCAAAACAACAATTAAAGTATATGAAGGAACCATGGACGTATAAACATAGATGGACACAGCAATAAGATGCCTTTAACACACAATGTTTTGAAGCTTCGATAGAATGTGATGCTTCCGCAATGAGCATAAGCGTGCTTGAATTATTACTCGCAGGTAATTATTCAGATTTTAAAAATTGGAAGTAGTAATAATGTATAAAAACACGTTCAAAGAATTTAAAAAAATAAGAGTTTAACTATTAACAAATCACGTCTTTATAGCAAAATTAAAATATAACTTTTATTTGTTTTAAAATTAATACAATAAAATATAGTAGAATTCAAGTTAATTTTTAATAGGTATCAAAATATTGCTACAATAAAAAATCTTTGTTTTCTCCTAAATTTGCTACCAAAATAGTTCGATCGTCAATATTATTTGGAAACCTACAAAGAAAAATAAATAAGTTTTATTCATTTCACTAATTTATTTGCATCCATGAGAAATATTAAATTAAAAAGGTACTAAATAAATCTTTTTTAATCAGATGATGTCTACTTACAATTTAAAAATGTCTACTAATTTCATGAACTTATATCTTATTTAATACATTAATGAACATGAATAAACCCAATGGTACGCCTATTAAAATGTAAACAAACACGCTTCCTCATTTCCACATCTTAAATAATGTAAATTTTATGTACTTACAAATGAAATGAGAGATCGGGATGTAAATATTTCGTTTATTTTATTTCACTTTTCACAAATATCACTCAATATACAGCCAAAATATCGAAAAACAACTTTTACTAAAAAGTAAACAAACATGGAACAGCATTTGAAGTTTGACGTAGATCCATAAGACAGAGAAATGTAAACAACCGTTGCCATTTATAAATAGTTTTCAGTGCTTCTACATATAAAATAATTGATTGATATCTAAATTATACGTTATTATTAAATGATAATGCACACTATGTGCACACTTTATATTTTGATTACAATTAAAAATATTAATCTAACCAATAAATTATTATTTTGGTTTGATAGCACCTGTAGAATATAAAATACGGAGTAATATTTTCAGCGACTTGCGAAAAAGAAATTTTAAAACAAAACGTGACAACAGCTGAAGGTGCTGAGAATGTGACCTATTCAAATAATTTTGACTTCACAATTTTATGTAAATAACTGAGTCCATCTGTGTTTATATCAATATCATATAAATCAATACAAATAAATAGAGGCGTGAGACAGGGTGACACAATATCACCGAAACTTTTCAATCAACCTCTGGAAGATATTTTTAAGAGATTAGAATGGGAAGAAAAAGGCATAAAAATTTGTGGACAATGCTTGAACCATCTAAGGTACTCTGATGACATCGTATTGATAACCGATAAAAAAGAAGAGTTGTTTAAAATGATGAAAGAACTGGACGTAGAAGCTGGTAAGATAGACGTTTATTATACATATAATTTTAAAATTTCAGTTAAATGAATTTTGTACTTACATCAAGTGGAGAGGCAAAAAGTACAGTATCTTTAATTTCTGATAGTGTTCCTATATTAAATCTTGTGCGTGATTCTGCTATGTGGGCATTTATTTTCCCTACACAACTTTTTACTGCTTTAATCTCCATAGAATCTAAAAATAGCATATTCTATAAAAATTTATCACTTAACAATGAAGTGTTTTGAATCGTATGTTAATAAATTATTTATTTACATGAATGTTAATATATTATCGTAATACACATACCTTCCATATTTTCCTCAACAATGGAAGACATTTCAGTTGGATTTTGTTCTTCCTGTTTCTGCGTTACAATTAAATAATTTATGCGACTTCTATGTGTGCATAACTGAAGTATAGTATCATCACCTTCAGGTTCTATTGCCCATCCACTGATTACTTGTCTATGCAATGGAATTTCAAAAGTATTATGGATGGTATTTTTTAGATTTTCTGCAAAATTGAAGACGTGTTCAGTGAAATCAAGTAAACAAATGTATTATCGAAAATAAAGCCCACTCACAAAAATTAATGCCAACAATTTTTAAACCAATAAAATCAGATTTTACGAAACAAGAATATTACCATAACAGCGTTCAGTTAAATTCAAATAGAGAACTACAAGTGAGTTTGGTAGGTAGAGTACTGGTCACTCTAACATTGTGGCCAATTTGTTAATATCTTACTCACTCTTCTTCCTATAATTTTCCAACAAAACTATGTGCCGACTATACATCAAAAGAGCTCACCAAAACAGGAGGTGTTGGAAAATATTTGGTATATTAAAAGTATGTCTTAAACTAGTATTGCTGATGTAAAAATTCAGCAACCCAAGGGATCTATGTTGATGGTACTTACCTACAGTGTCATACTCTAAATGTTCAAATTGTTCTGTTAAAAATCCATCTGGTGTTCTGTAGCAAACAGCAAAGGAAAGTCTTACTTCCATAACCAAAATAAAAATTAACCTAAAAGAAATTAATATTACTTTGCTTTTAGTATTGTGTAATTACTGCGGAACTCTTATAGGTTAGATAGTGCCCCTCCTGCACTTTTCCACTGGCACATTATGCAATGTCTCCTGGATATGGATAATACAGGTATATGAACTGTCTGGCTGGAGCAGATCAAAGATATCACTGGGTACCAGCAGTTGATTATCTCAGAAATCACTATAAAAAGAGTGTAAAAAACTGCAACTTGCATGACAAGTACAACAAGTTGTTAAATAGCAAAGTGGTAAATATAAAAATATGTTGATACAAACTTAGAGAAAGCAGTGGAAAACTACCTCATTGTTATTTCCTCATACAATAAAAATGAACAATGAAACAAAAGAGAATGCTTTTAGTCCCTTGAAATTCTAAAGAAAAATTCTAAATACAGCATAATTGTCTAAATTATACTTATCTATATTCTAAATAGGGTAGCGGGTAAACACTTTTCTACGGTCCTGGTGGAAAATAGGTCTACTTCAGGGAAGCCTCCTTGTCCACGCGAGTCATGCTTTGCTCTCAATTACTTACCGAGAGAAATCATGTCCCATTCCTTTCTCCTTCCAAAATCTAGTTTCTTACTTCCTATCCCTCCTTGGTGAAGGGCAGCAGCGATCATCAGTACCAGTTCAAGGCGTACAGGAAATTATCCTGGACCGGCTTGAAACTGGATTACCACAAGCATGACTGGAATAGTTTAAATGGTGCAATGGAGAAGTCAACGGGAAAACCACCCCATTATATTTTCCACAAATCTAAATGGCAGACGAGAAAAAGAAAATGGCCCTCAGTCCGAGGCACCCCTTAAATGGGGAGAGGATGCGAAGAATCCCCCCGTTGTATATGCATGTTTTATTGACTATCGAAAGGCATTTGACTGTGTTAACCATCAAAAGATGATCGAAATTCTGAGAACAATTAGAGTTGACGAACAAGACTTGTGAATTATCTCAGAACTATACTGGCACCAAACAGCAACAATTGAAATAGCTTATAAAGCCAAAATGATGATGGAATCAGCATAAACAACATCAGATGTGCTGATGATATTGTCTTAATAGCAAGAAACGCACAAGAACTACAAAATATAATAAATGTGGTTGTTCACCACAGCGAAATGTTCGGTTTACATCTAAAAGTTTCCAAAAACTAATACTTTAGTATTTTCAAAGACACCAATAAATGTACATGTGTATATTTGAGAGCAAATATCAATAGTCAGTGTAATCCAAAAAAAGAAATACTATCAAGAATCAAACAAGCAAGGAAAACATTCATGAGCATGACAACATTTTTTACAAGATCAGACCTTAGTCGACAGCTTAGAATCCGAGTGATTAGATGTTACGTTTTTTCTGTCTTACTGTATGGCTGTGAAAGTTGGACACTGAAATAGAAAAAAGAATAGATGTCTTTGATATATATATATATATATATATATATATATATATTATATATATATATATATATATATATATATATATATATATATATATACATACGAATGTTGAGAATTCCATGGGTACAAAGAGTTACTAATGTTGAGGTAGGTCGTCAAATGTGTAAACAAAAAGAATTACTAAGAATAATCAAAGAGAGGAATGCAATACTTGAGTCATGTGTTGAAAGGCGAAAAATATGAATTACTTCAAGTTATACTGGAAGGAAAAGTACAGAGCAAAAGATCAGTAGGAAGACCCCAGAACTCGTAGCTGAAAGACCTAAGACGGTTCGACCGCTAATCTGCTGAAATCTTTTGTGCAGTAGTTTCCAAAACCACAATTGCCATTTGGATCGCCAACCTTCGAAAGGAGACGGCGCCATGAGAAGAAGAAAAATATTCTAAATTAAAACAATCCCATATTATGAAATTGGTTTAAAAATAGAATGTTTCTTTACATAATTACCCTGGTTTAGTCATCAGGTAGCAAATTATTTTGTATTTAAAATTTATATACTTAAATTCTTCATTATTTCATAACTTTCTACATTCTCCACTATACTAACAATACCGACAATACCAACACACCGACAATACAAAATGAACTATAGATTATGGATCTGAAGGACTTATATATTTGTTATTGTAATACCATCAGTGCACATCATACTGCATGTGAACCCACAATATGATACCTAATCTAATGTATGTGATGATGCATACAAACACAGTTTAGATAGATAAACTCACTTTCATAATATAGTATATTTAGTATTAATTATAATAATATATAAATATATCTATATTTGTTAAATTTGTATTTTGAGAAAGATTTCGAGATATATATTTTTGCAAATTTTATTAGTGTTCCTTGTGTATGGAGCATATTATAGCTTACTACAGTTAATATATAAAAAAGACACAGACATTTGTACAATAATTTTACTTTTGTGTACATTTTTTTAAATATGTTTTATTGTAATAAATAAAATACTTGGCCTTGTACCTAACAAATGTGTCTGGTTCAAAATCAATAGGGACTATGGAAATACTAATTGTACTTTAAACTTTTTTTAGTAGAAAGATACGCATTTAAAAGTTTTACTAATGGTAAAAATAGAAAAATAATAACATAAGAATATAACCTCATCCATAATAGATTATGTCACTGCTTGATTTATTTGAAACATGTATTAATAAAAAATAAATAAATTACCTAGATAGACCGATCCAAATTTAAATTAAACTAGCTCTAACTATATCCTAGAAATAACAAAACCACTAACAAAAAACTAAATGTTTTGACTTGAGTACTTCACCTATCATCGTCATAACGTCATATCTAAATTTAGGGGGGGGGGGCTCACGAAAAGGACAGGCCGACAGGCCGATGACATGACTGTCATTTCGCGGAGTCACGTGATCAACGTGTGATCAACTTAGTCCGATCTTTTGATCTCTGGAGAAAACTCAATTTACGAATGGAAGTTCAAACTGATATTTACGAGCAATATATTATTTCAAGTTACTTATTATTATCAACTCTTAGTATTTTGACTTTTAAAGTGAATTATTTTCTGATGTCCAGCAGATCTAATGGATGTATATAGATAACTTTGATTGGGTATTGATTATTACGGAATTGTTCAGTGAAAAAAATGTTGAATAAACACAGCTGCAAAAAACATAATTATATAGCTAACTATTCTTAATAAATTAGTCTTGATTTCTCCCTAATTTTTTATTATTTGTTAGAATTATAATTGAGATAATGATTATAATTATCAAAAATCTAAGTTAGACAAAATGACGAAATCAAAAAGAAAGTAGAAAAGTAGAATACTGCTATGAAAAGTACATAGTAACCATTAACTGAAGTCGAATTAAGTTATTGACGTGATTACTATGCCACAGAATAATAAACATACAGAATACCCACTCTCCACGGAAAATTAAGTACGCGCATCTCCTCCGCGCAGACGTTCCGCCATGTTTTAGGAGGATTTTAAAGAAATTAGTGTTGTTTATGTGGTGTGTATGGAAAAATTAACCAGGTTTATTTGACTTACGGCAATCATAGACATACTATACAATTATATTAACATTGTTAAATATAATAACATAAATATAATATAATTAAACATAAATATAAACAATTACATAACCACACAAATCATATGTCTGTGTCCTCCTAAAACATGGCGCGCGTGCTGAAAAACTTCAAAGGCGGCATCTGAGAGTGGCCCTTCTGATTGCTTATTATTCTGTGACTATGCGCCATGGTCGGTCTTTTTCGTAGTAAATTTATTTGACATATCGATATTTTCAGAATCGATTTTATGTATTTCGAGTACATATGGAAATTTGAAATGCTTGTACCAAAGAATATAGACGCTTATATAAGCGTCTATATTCTTTGCTTGTACTGTGCTTATAATTATTTTATATATTATTTTAGCATTTGTTTTAACAGGGTAATTACATGTATTCCTCATATTTTTATCTTTAAAGCGCTTGCACGTGTGCTACATATTAAGTTTTTCTACTGGAATAGTTTTGGGCAGAACAATAGCAAATCTATTTAACCCTGCATCACTCGCGCCTTAAAAAATTACGCGAGAACTCGCGCGTGAGAATTTCTCTCACACGACGAACCCTTCAAGATTTTGTTCGGTGTAACTGTTTTTATTTTTTTTTATGCAAATGAAACAAAACTATTGGTAATAATAAAAGGGTTTATTTAAAATAAATGCCAAAAATAGAGTTATAAGTACATTAAAAATACTAAAAAGAAAACTTATACAATGCTAAGAACTAAAAAAAAAATACCCTGTATATTTTATTTTACATCTATCTTTAAATTAATGTTATCCTTAAATCAGATAAAATAAACATAATATTAATCAAAAATTTAATCATCTGAAGTACCACTATTATCGTTTACGCCAGAACACGTTGGACATGTGAAGGTGGTATGCTCCGTGCAAATGGCAACATTGCAGCTAACACATCGTTTTTTTGACTTCCTGTTCTTTCTTCTTGGACAAAATCCACAGAAATCTGGAACAGATTCTCTGTTCTGTTCAATCTGAGGCATATTTAAATATTCCCTTAGCATGCTTCGAATATTAATTGGCAAAGACCTGATCGATGAACGACGAATCAACAGAGGTTTAATCAAAGCTTCGGCCAGATGATTGAGATAAATTCTACGTTCTTCAATAACTTCGGTATTACTTTTATATACAATATTGGAATTAATAGCAGCAACGTCCAAAATTGTAAAAAAAATTCTAAGTGGCCATCGGCAACAATATCCGGAAACAGAATAAGTTGATTTTAATTCATCAACCACATCGACACCTCCTTTTGTTAGGTTATAAAATGTAATGATCTCAGGTTTTTCCAGTTCGCCAGATTCAGGATCGATGTAGTCCCCAGAATGAAATGTAGATAACATCAATACGTTTTTCTGAGGTTTGGGTTTATACGATAATAATACAGTATTCTTTCGGAAACCAAACATGCTACTAGGTACAGGTCTTTTCACATTTATAAATATTGGCGGAATTTCCCTCTTGTTTTTCCTTAGGGTACCAACAAGTGTAGTTTTCCTATCAAGTAATTGTTTGGCTAACGGCACTGACGTGAAATAATTGTCCATAGTTATATTTCTACCTGTGTTTAATATGGGATTTGCTATACGCATAACAACAGCAGATGCAGAGTTGTCTAGATAAAAAGGGCCAACTGGCTGTTTTCCTGCATATATCTCCATATTGCAGGTATAAAACATCCTTGAGTCAACTAAGGCATATATTTTAATGCCGTATTTGGCCGGCTTGTTGGCTATATATTGCCGAAATTTACATCGCCCTCTAAAGCTTTCCAACATTTCATCCACTGTACAATACTCTCCAACTTGGTAGTTTTCTTGACACTTGGACACAAACTGTTCAAATATGTTTCGAATGGGAGCCAAATTATCGTATTTTTTTCTTTCGTTTCGGTCATTGATATTGTCAAATCTTAGTGCTCTTCCTAAAATATGAAATCGTTCTCGTGACATCGTTAGTCTAAAGCAAGCAGGAGCAAATATTGAATCAGCCCAAAGTTCTTTAGTATTTAGATATTGAGCCTTTCGTACCCCAGCCATGTATAGGAGGCCGATAAAAGCATATATTTCTGTAGCGTCTGTGTCACGGCAATCTCTTTCTCTCGTATAGTTACCTCGTATTTTTGCTAGATAGATATTTGTGCATTGTACGATTTCTTCAACCATTTCTTTTGTAATATATAATTCCCAGCATGCTTCGACAGTATTTGCATCTTTTGCAATATTTTTTACTCCGGGAAGATGACTAACAATATTTTTTGTAGGCACTCTTACGTTAGGTCGTGGAGGATAAGCCATCCAGTGAGTTTTTTTGTCTTTACCAGTGAAATGATGTTTTGATGTATATGCGGGATTATCGTCAACTTCATAAACAAAATTTTCAACTTCTACATCAGATTGTTCGGAATCGGTATTATGCATACTATGTTCACTGGAAGCGTCACTTTCAACATCCACTCGTCCGCCATCTTCCATAATTTCTTGATTTTGACATTCCTCTTGCCCACTCCATGGTATGTTAGCTGACATACCTTCTCTTTGTGCCTCTTCATATCGAATTCGCCCTAATTCTGCAAGCGTCAGTCCTCTACTCATTGTTTACTATCTAAAATAACAATACCACAATAATAGAACACCTTGACCTTATTTAAAAAGCAAATAAAGTAGTTATGTATAAAAAAATCTTAAATTTACTTACCAAAACTTTATTCAACCTTAAGAAAATATACTACGTTAGAACTTGCGCGATGAGAGAAATTCTCACAGAGATCTGCACACGATCGACAAGTGCCCGATATCTATTACCAACATGCACTTAATATTGCATGCGCTCAAGCGTAACAACGAAGACCCTTAGAAACTCAGCTAGAAGTGGGGGTAGCAGTATGCGTGATTTACCGTTAATAAAATTTGCATTTTACTGGTAGGTGTGAGAGAAATACTCATAGCGCGAGTGATGCAGGGTTAAAAGTTTAATGTAAATCGTTTTCTTTATTTTCATCCCTTTGTAGCGTCTGTTCTTCTTATTACATTTCTCCATAAGTTTCTTTCTTAGTTTATATTAATATCATTTCTTTTGCGACATGTCCTGCTAAATCGTCTGCTACTAGATCCAGTGGCGCACCAAAATTTATTGGAGGGGGTTTTTAAATTTTTTTATTTGTTTTATGCTACCTCAATTTTGAGTCCCTAAAATTTGGGTTTTAGTTTAATTTAAAGTACTTAAGATATCAGTGCCAAAGATTCAGGTATCTATTATCCTGCCTACCAACTAAAACCACTCTCTCTTACTTGTGCGCAGTTGACTGTAGCACGTACCGTACTCCGAAAGTGGGGTGGCCGCTTTAAGGCTGACGACATTTTTGCAACACTCGAACACTCCCTTCTCTTATCTATTGTTCTGAAGCTATTTTTTGTGGCATTTTAAAGTAATAGTCCATAATCGTTGCAATATATATTTAATAGTTCAGCAAGGTTTTGCAGTTCTTCTAGTGTTCCTGCCAGAAGGACGGTGTCGTCAGCATATCTCATGTTATTAAGTGGCTCACCGTTTATTATATGGCCCTCACTGATTTCGACAAGTGCTAATTCTGAGATGGCTTCACTGTAGAAATTGAATAATAAGGGTAATAAAATACTCATACGATTCTCTCTAGGTCTCTCTTTATAACGATTCCCTATATAACGATAATTCCTCTATAACGATGAAAATAGTAAACTGGTTAATATAAGGACATGTATTAATTCTTTCTCCATACCGATATCGTTATCTCTTTATAGCGATGACTTTTCAGCGTTCAATAGTCGATGACAAAGGTGCTATTGTGTTTAAAGCTTAGGCTACCTGAGTCACGAGTGGCACGGTCATTGTCCAAGCGGTTGTTTTGTTTTGCGCTTAAGGAATGCGGCCATCCATTCTACTCATTCTTATCAGAGGGTTAAGTGACTCGTTTTTATTGTTCGGGCGGAGTGCCTAAAAGTCGATTCAGACACATCAGTTCCGTCACAGTCCCGACGCTGAACCGGTCCTGTTTGGTCACAGAACTATCAACTATCTGACAGCTGGCAAACTATTCGTCGCCTGATGAATGTGAATGTCGGCGCCATATTTCTATTAAAGAATATTTTGTATGACGGATTGTTCGGTTTGGCGCCAGGACTGTGACGAGACGTGACTGATGTGTCTGAATCGACCTTAACTATTACAACACAGATGTTGTCATCTATTGACGAGTTTTCATTTCCAGTTTGAGTTGTGTCTCAGTTTGTCAACAGTCAACATGTTTTCGAAAAAGCGTAAAGTGCTCTCAGTGCAGGAGGGCGGTAGCAAGAAGAAGTTGCGGAAACCTCAGCACGAAGATTTAGATCGCGCTATGCTTCAGTGGTGTCAGCAGCAGCGTATGAACCATATTCCACTTTCTGGGCCTGTGGTCAGGACAAAAGCTGAGTTTTTTGCAACTGAGCTTGGAATTATGAATTTCAAGGAATCTGAGGATTAGCTGAGCAAGCGAAAGCTGCGACACGAGTAAAGATGGGCGTTATATAACGTATTCGGATAAATAACACTATTACCAATAAGTATTCGTTTTCTTAATAATGGGTTACAGGAAACTGCCTATTACTTTTGTCACAGTGTAACTATATCGTAAAACGCAATGGTATTCGAATCGGCATTCGATATGTTAACGTGACCGTGACAATATGGAACGATGGGAATCGTTCGCTCAATCAGTACCAGAATAGGATGGTCATTGTCACCGAATTTATGATGAGCTGTATGTTTTGCCACTTAATAGCTGGGAATATCACCGTAAGCACGTACGATGATTAAGACAGAGACAATGTTTATTGTTATTATAAAATAGTATGTTATTAGAAATTGCTTGCCCTTATTCTAATGTAGTTATTTGAAGTTAATGCAAAACTAAATTCTCGAGTTATTTAATAGAATAATATTATACACTAATATTTTTTCCTCTCGCTTTATATTACATAAGTTATGTATATGTATATCTAATATTTCATTTATAATTTATGTATAGTACAGTAGTTGAATCATTTATTTTTAAGCCTCTGTCTTCTGTCATTTGTATATGTTTAATATTTATTTTTAACAACCATCAAACGTATGAAGAATCTTTATCACTCACGGTTGAAACAAAAATAAACTATAAATACTAAAAAGTATTCGTTTATTGAAAAAGATATTATGATTACTACAAGAAACTACAGCAAGCCAAGCGAAATGGAATGGAGCTGCTTGCGGCTTGGGTAATAGGCGACAAAAGTAATAATAGGTTACCGGAACCTATTACCTGTCTGTCACAGGAACGATGGAACCTATTACTACAAAGTAACTGTATTTTCCATGACTAGACACGAGATAAATTACGGCAAATCAGCGGAGAGGCTCGCGATGTTAACAAAAACGTAACGGATGATTGCTAGAAAAAATGTGGCCTGGACTGAAGACACGGTATGCGTCAGACGACATTTTCAATGCTGATGAGATTGGATTAATTTTTAAAATGACACCAAACAGAATTTTAAAATTGAAAACTGAAAAGTGCGTTGGTGGAAGGCTCTCTAAGGAACGCATTACAGTTTTAGTGGCCGCTAACATGACAGGTGAAGCGAAAATTGTTAGTGATAGGGAAGTCGAAAAACCCACATTGATTTAAAAACATCTACTGGTGACCTATAAAGCAAACAAGAGTACGTCGATGACTTCGGAAATTTTTGAAGAAGCGATAAGAAAGTTACGTAGATATCGAGCTTAACGGGAAAAAATTCTTCTACTTGTAGACAATTGTTCTATTCACCATAAGGCAGTCAAAACATTGACCTTTGTTTTCTACCAGGAAACAACGAGTGTCCTTCAGCCCGTGGACCAAAGTGTCATCAAGAGTTTAAAAAGCCATTATAGGAGAAGATTTTTGATGGAATTGGTTGAGAACAATGTCGATCTTAAACTAAACATTCTTGACGTCATCCTAATGATTAGTACATCCTGGGACGAGATGACGAGCAATACAATAAAACATTTCTTTAAACACGCAGGATAGCTGGAAGATCAAGGATTGACTGATGATAAATATGACGTGCCATTAGATGTTTAAGCCAGACAGTTTGAATTTACTATCACCTACGGACCGGAAGAGCTAACATGTTTTAAAGAAAGAAAGAAGTTGATGAAAAGTAGCTACAATATCTGGACTTTCTGACAAGGACATCCTACAAGCAGTTCGTGTAGAAGAAGAAGAAAACAGTGAACCGGAAGTGGAAGTAGAGCCAGAACCAGCTCCGACTCCTCAGTAGGCATTGGATGCGGCAAAAGTACTGCATGGAGTCTTCATCTACCAGGAAGACGATATGAGTGCTGTGGAAGATTCTATGAGTCTTCAGAACAAGGTCCAGTCAGTTCTGTGGAAAGGGAAAAGAAACCAGACCAAGGTAACAGACTTTTTTGGTAATGTAGGCTAAATATATTTTACAGAGGCATATTATTTTGTTATTGTACAGTATATTTTGTTAGTATTATTTGTACAGTTATTTGTACAGTCATTTTTTATACTGTAAGGCTTATATTATTCTTTAATAAATCTATGTGGTGTACAATACAGTGTTAATTCATTTATATTCATTTTGATAAATTTTTTAAATTAAAATAGGTTATTTAGTGCCTACAATATTATTAATATTACAGTACCAATCTTGCCTCTCTCTATATAACGATCTCTCCTTACAACGATTAAATTCCCAGTCCCTTGCATATCGTTATAGAGAGAGGACTGTAACTGTAATTTTCTCGACATCATTTGTATGCTAAACAACGAGTTTTGGGAAATTCTGATTTTATCATTAGATTAATATTTAAAATTAAAATAAACTTAAAAAAAAATAACTTTTGTCGATTAGTGAGTTTTGTACATAATGGCATCAAATATCCCCGTACAGTTTTTTAAAACTTGCTTAGCATCTTAGCAATGAGCTAGTGTTAAGGAATTGCATATTTTGCGGTCAGAAATTTAGTTGACTTTTAGATATTCTTAAAAGTTTTAGGAAAAACATTTTTTTATTTCCATTGATTTTGTTATTGATGAATGTTTTGTTAATCCTCTATGGAACGACTTATCGATATTGCATTGCATTCACTATGTTGGGGCCTCAAATTTGTAGATAAGTAATGTAAATAAATATTATCAAGACATAGATAAGTGATTATTACTTATTTTATATGTATACAATAAAAGTTATTTTGCTATCTAAAATATGCCATTTAGTTCCAAGTAGATGTAAATAAAGGTAAGTAAATTTAATTTCTATATATATATATATATATATATATATATATATATATATATATATATATATATATTTATATATATATATATATATATAATATATATATATATATATATATATATATATATATATATATGTATATGTATATGTTACGGGTAAACCCCAAAATTGAATGAAACTAGTTTTACTCGGATATTTTGAGTATTTTTCAATGTGACTGGGTTTATTCAGAAATATTAATGTCAAATGAATAAAGCAGTACATTTTATATATTTTGAATATAATTAACACTACTAAATTTAAATTTTATTTGATTTCCTTTCTTTATCAAGAATCTACTACGTAATTATTATCCAAAAGATATAGTATTGAAACTTGATATAACTAAAACAGAGATAAAAATGATATTCAGTTTTACTCCGAATTATAAACGGTTATTGATTTGAACAGAATAATATAGTATTAACTGGATAAATCCAGAATACAACGAAATATTCACAAATATGCAGCTTTATGCACTACTGTAAAACAGGGTTATTTTGCACCTTAGTTTTTAGTTTCATTTTCTTAGAGTGGATATAACGTTACTCGAAAGAAGATCTGAACTTTTTATTATAAATGAGGAATTCTACAAAAATTCGCACCTTAGCTGGAGCCAAATATGGTGATATTGCAATTTGCTGCCCGTACCCCGCAGTAACATTTTTTTTTCTATAGGTTGATACCAAAAAACATGTTTTCAGGTGCGAGCCTCAAAAAAAAGGCAAATTTAAGTTTTTCCAACAAAAAACTGATGTGTTCGCTAAAGCTATTTCATCCTTCTAGCGATCTGCCTCGAAAAACGAGTGAAAGAGACTTCTATACTTGGAGCAGACGTACATATCAGGTATCAATCGCTTTGTCTTGGTCACCAAAATGAACTCTGACCCTTTGAAGAACAAAAAACAAAGGCTCAAAGCGTGGCAAACGGTTATTCAGTCCCTAAAATCGACGTTTTTCATTTTTTCGCAATTTTATCCTAAAATTGATTAAAATATACTTCTGTAGTTGGAGCACACATACATATTAGGTACCAACTGCTTCGTCTTGATCCCCAGAATGAAGGGTCAGAGTTCCTTTTGGGGACCTAGACGAAGCGATTGGTACCTGATATGTACGTGTGCTCCAACTATAGAGGTATCTTTTAATCTATTTTTGGGTAAAATCGCGAAAAAATAAACAACGTCGATTTTAGGGACTGAATAACCGCTTGCCACGCTTTGAGCAGGTGTTTCTTGGTTCTTCAAAGGGTCAGAATTCATTCTGAGGATCAAGTCGAAGTGATTGGTACCTAATATGTATGTGTGCTCCAACTACAGAAGTATATTTTAATCAATTTTAGGATAAAATTGCGAAAAAAATGAAAAAAAACGTCGATTTCAGGGACTGAATAACCGTTTGCCACGCTTTGAGCCTTTTTTTTGTTCTTCAAAGGGTCAGAGTTCATTTTGGGGACCAAAACGAAGCGATTGGTACCTGCTATGTACGTGTGCTCCAACTATACAGGTCTCTTTTACACTATTTTTGAATAAAATCGCGAAAAATTAAAAAAAAAAACGTCGATTTTAGGGACTGAATAACCGTTTGCCACGTTTTGAGCAGGTGTTTCTTGGCTCTTCAAAGGGTCAGAGTTCCTTCTGGAGACCAAGACAAAGCGATTGATACCTGATATGTACGTCTGCTCCAAGTATAGAAGTCTCTTTCACTCGTTTTTCGAGGCAGATCGCTAGAAGAATGAAATAGCTTTAGCGAACAAATCAGTTTTTTGTTGGAAAAACTTAAATTTGCCTTTTTTTTTGAGGCTCGCACCTGAAAACATGTTTTTTGGTATCGATCTACAGAAAAAAATTGTTACTGCTGGGTACGGGCAGCAAATTGCAATATCACCATATTTGGTTCCAGTTAAGGTGCGAATTTTTGTAGAATTCCTCAAATATTATATTCCTCTAATAATATAGCTCTTATTATAGTTGTTTTTTAGTTATATTGCATAATTAAGAGATTATCCTAATTTTATTAGTGGATGCAAAGTATACTTTTGATTTTGGTGAGTGGGGCCTAGGGGGTTGATGGGGGTGAGTTTTCTTTCATGTCATTTTAGTTTCCCCTTACTATCCTAGAAACGGTTTCAAGCATTTTTCGATATCAGCTTTTTGATGGTGAGATATAGCTTATTGTAAGTTTTAAAATTGACACACTGTATATCAAATTCTACAGGGTGTTTTAGAAATAGGTATACCACATCTATTTCCGATATCACTAACGGATCCTTTTATTTAAAATATTTGTAGCAAATTGATATTGAATTATTTTAGCTAATTTTTTTCTAGGTTAATTTTTTTTAATATGGAAAAAACACTGACCTTTTCTGTTTGCTGTAGAACACTAGAAGGTTTCGATACGCAACAATTTGAACAGTTAGAGTATGACACTGTTGGTAAGTAACATGAAGAGAGGTATTATTTCAATTTGTCTAAGATTTATAATTTGTGTTTGTTATATTTCAGTAGGAACACAAAACGTATAACTAAAAAATCTGCAAAAACATAAAATTTCTAGTTCTCCTCTAAATATTTACAAAATGAAAAAGGCTGGTTATGTAAAACCCAATACCAAAAGAAAAGTTGTAATATTCTCTACGAAATACAATACTAATATAACAGGGTGTTCCATTAAAAATAAATGAGAAAAGATAAAACTATTTAAAAGTAACACTAAACTAGAACATCTTTGACATATCATTTACATTTTCATTACCTTGAAAACCTAATCCGCAGTTCCTTAAATATTACCATTTTACTTGATACAAGTCTAAATATTTTAAAAATTAATAACTTTAGGCCTATAAAACCTTACACAAACTCTTCATGTTTACAAAAAATGTATTCAAAAATACTTTAATATACAGAGTGTTCCAATTTAAAAAAAAATCACAACTATAGATCATTCCGTTGTTCTGACTGACCCTGTATAATTAAAAATAATTTTAAATTATAGATATCTTAGTTATATATTAGTTTTGTTTAAAAGTGTTTATATAATTCATAGTTTAGCCATAATCAAAGAAAGTCAGAGGTTTTGCGCACCCTACATACATACATAATGGCTATACACCCCAGCGTGGGGTTAAACCGCGAATTCTTTCTAGATCCAATTTCTTGGGTGGATGAGGTCTTTTGTTTATGTTACCTTCTTGACAATATCTCTCCATTTTTTTCCTGTATCTAGTTTTTCCTCTTCATTCTCTGACTCCTGCCCTTTGGAGGTCTTCTTCAACTTCTTGCAGCCACTTTGATCTTGGTCTTCCCTTCTCTTTCTGCCTCCTGGATTCCGTTCTATCATTGCGTATGTTACTGCCTCATCTCCTGCTCGCCAAATGTGACCTAACCATCTAACTCTGCATTGCTTTATTTTAGTCACGATGTCTTCCTTAATCTCTGCATTTGTTCTGCTTCTATATTCATTTTGATCTGTTCTGATTGGTCCTAATATGGTTCTCATAATCTTTCTCTCTGTTATTCCTAAGTCTTCTTCATCTTTTTTAATAATCGTCATTGTTTCTCCTGCATATAATAATATTGGCCTAATTATGGTGTTATAAATGTTCATCTTAGTTTTTTTAGTCAATGTTTTGCTTTTAAATAATTTTTTGTTTGCAAAATAAGCTTTATTGGCTGCTAATATTTTTTCTTTTATTTCAGACTTCCTTTCTCCGTATTTGCTTATTGTAACACCTAGGTATTTGAAATATTCTACTTCTTCAAACTCAGAACTTCCTATTTTGATTTTTTCTTTCTTTGGCTTTTTCACTAATCTTAATTTTTTTGTCTTTTCTTGATTTAATCTTAGTCCCATTGGTTCCCATTTCTCTCTTATTTCTTCTAGCATTTCTTTCATTATTTTCCTGTTCTTTGCAATAATAGCAATATCGTCTGCATATGCAATTATTTGACCACCTCTTGTTCTGAGATTTCCTTTATTTATATTCCGTAGTACAAATTCTATTACTAGATTAAATAGCGTTGTTGATAAGGCATGTCCTTGTTTCATCTCTTTATTTATAATGAATTCCTCTGTCTCTCCTCTCTGTGTCTTTATGCTATGCTTTGCGCACCCTGTATATGTATATTATTTTGCCAGCATCTCGTAGGCTCCACAGCTGAGATTGCCAGCTTTGGAGCCAACCATCGAGTCAGAATCTCGATGGATAGATAGATTCTAACTCGATGGAGCCAACGTTGGGTCAACTGTGTTCCCACATTCAGTGAAGCATCCACACATTGGGTTAAGTATTGGGACGATATTAGTCTGTTCCCTCTAGATCCAACGTCAACATGTTCGACATGAAAATTGCAGTGGCTGCGACTGTCGTGATAATGAGTCCATTTGATTATATTTTTCTACAAAAAGGCGAATTTTACGTCATTTTGTCTACAGCGTAACTTAAAGCTACTAGATCTTTAGAGATGCCGTATTTGGCAACTGCAGACTGAATATATGAGTCTAAACCTGACGTCGAGGCTCTGAATCCCATGTATTCTTTTATTAATTCAATTCCAAAATTTCTTAGCCTTCTATTTTTGCTATATTCTGCATCAAACATGACTTAATCCACAGCCCATACATATTTTAAAAGTTACATGACCACACGACGGTGGTCTATTAGGACAAAATTAAAAGCATATACTTTTGTAAGATATTTAGATAAGGACATTTTCTTGGGTGCCTGATTGAATAAAAAACAGATATGTATATTATTTATTTATCTAAAAAATAGCCTTTTGAGCATAAACCTTGTTCTGATAGATTACCGACGTACATCGGAGTGTTCATCCTAAAGATGATTTTAACATGTTGTAAATTTGTTTTTTAATGCCGTCATGGAATGGAAATTTTCTTCTTTTTATATAGACATGGCTCTGTCTGATTTTCAATGTGCCTCCAGTAATTGTCATTCCATCGTTTTTGTGGTCTTCCTACTGATCGTCTTACTATTGGTTAGCCGTTCCATTCTACTCTTCTATTTCTTACCCAGTTTTTGATGTTCTCCACCTTGCATCTATGTCGTATATCTGTACGTCTAACTCTGGCCCATAGTGTCTTACCATCAATTTTTCTGTGTTTTTATCTCTGCTGTTTCTAACATCCTTTTTGCCCTCTTTGTGTCAGGTCTTGTTTCTGCCGCGTATGTCATTATTGGTCTGATGACTGTTTTGTAAATTCTGCCTTTCGTTTCTTTCCCGATATTTTTATTTCTCCATATTGTTTCATTCAGGCAGCCTGCGGCTCTGTTTGCTCTATTCACTTGATCTTCCACTTCGGTTTCGAGCTTTCCATAGCTAGATAATGTGATGCCTAGATATTTAAACTCCATCACTTTTTCTATTATCTGACCTTCCAGCTCCAATTTACATCTTCGTAAATTTGCTGTTGTAATCATGCATTTTGTCTTTTTAGGGGAAATTAACATGTTAAATTTTCTGGCGGTTGCCACTGTAGCTGCTGCTGTACACTGCTGTAGCGCCAATCTGTGGTCGGCATCACCAGTATTGGCGCCATTCCTTTTGATGTGTACGCAAAAACCGACATCAAACGAAACAGTCCCAACGTTGGAGCAAATCATAAAAACGTTGGCGCCAACATTGGCCCCAACACTAGTTTGTCGGTACACACATTGGACGAACGCTGTTGGGGTCAACGTTGGCCCCCATGTGTGGAGCTGGCGTAAATGGTGAAAATGATTCGGGCCCGTGCAATAGAGATACCTTACACATAGGCCATACCGAGCGATAACAAGTAGTTACTTCAAAAATAAACGTTTATAATAAAGTAAAGTACTACTACAGAAAAATTAAGATCAAATAAATTATCTCTGTAAACTTTTCGAATCTGATATCTAATATCTAAGTAGACAAATAAATCATAACCAATGATTCTGGCTATTTTCATATGACGGGGAATGCTTTCGTTATACGTCATAATTTTTTTATAAAACCATTTTATTACAAATAGTTGTATTTTCAATATGATTTGGTAGAGAACTTTCTTAATTTCTTAATGTTACAGAACATCTAAAAATTAATATCCACCGTGTCTTTGACATTCCACCGCATAGACAAATAATAGATGGATGGGCCACCAAACCCGAAAACGATCAGTCTATACTTCAAGTATGCACACATTTAGGACGCATAAATTATTTATTTTTAAGCTGTAGTCAGGAAGAACAAATTCCAACTGACAGCTCTTCCAATGCTCAGGAAAATGGCAGAGGTATGTATATTGCGATACTGAATTAATGGTCTTATAAATCAGCATAATATGACCATAGGATATTTTAAGGCACTGGAAAATTTATTAATACATAAATATTAAAGGATATATTTTAGATTATTATTTCATCTTTCGTTGATCACCTTGCTCTTGCTCTTGCTTTATAACTTTCTCCCCAAAACGATCTTTCTCACTCTATATGGTGACGATGTTATAACTGCTGCTTTTGTTGGTTTGGGTCCTTTATTTGTCAATGTTTTCTTGTTTTGTTGGAATAAGTAAAATGTCTTTTGGTGAAACCATTGCTTGTTCCATTGACATTTATGACATACTCGAAGGACCAGCTTCTGCTCGTCGAAATGTCGAAACCATGGGCGGCCATTTGACCACTTTGGCACCTTAGATAGGCTTTTCCAAACAGCTCAGATATGTTATTCCATTTGAGCCAAAGTTTCACAATTATTGCTTCAACCAGTATAATTATTATTTATACCATTGGATAGCATTTTTTATATTCTTTTTAATGATGTATCACAAGTATGGGTTTGCAATTTAAACTTTTTTGGTTGTGGTGGATGGGGCCTACGGGCTTGATGGGGGTGAGTTCTCTTTCATGTCATTTTAGTTACCCATTACTATCCTAGAAACGGTTTCAAGCATTTTTCGATATCAGCTGTTGTTAGTGAGATATAGCCCATTGTAAGTTTTAAAATTGACACATTGTATATTGTTTTTTTAGATTGTATGGAAATCAGAGCAGTAAAAAGTTGTATAAGAAAAATTAATACCCACATAATAGCGTCAGGAACAAAGTTTAATATAGGAAAACTATCCAAAATTAAAAATACTGTACTCCTTGCTCCTCCTGTAAATGTAAGTCCAAAATCAATTTTAGAGCAAAATCTAAATTTTTTACTATGTATACTGTCAGATAAAAAGTGGAACAACTGGGTAAGATTAAAAACAAAAGTGTAGGATATCACAACAAAAATTGCCGAACTGAAATGGAGCTTCGCAGGTCACAATGCTTGACAAAAATACCAACATTGGAACACCTCAATACAACATTAAAGACCTTATAAAGATAGGTAGATGACATGAAAAGAATAGCGTCTACAAATTGGAAGTATGTTGCTCAGGATAGAGATCGATGGAAGGAGCTGAGAGAGGGTGTATGTCCAAAAAATGGACGATAGAAGGCTAAGAAAAAGAAGAAGTGAACGTTCAGCAATGCTTTTTGGGTTTTATCGGTTTCGGATGAATAGTGGCTACGTTTTGACAAATGATAAATGTCTGTATCATGTAGGGGAAGGACGTCGAAGATGACGCACCTAAGCAAAATACATTTTATTTAAGGGTAAAAAATATTTAAGCTAACTTTGAATGCTACGAGCCTGTAATTTGGACATTTCTATAACCAATTTCTAGGATTATTTTTAAATTCAATAAAAGGAAGTATTGTTTATGCGGCTTTTTTAAAAAACGCTTTTGCGCCATCTTACCTTCCACCGAGGGAAAGATGACGCACAGTGATGGTGAAGATGGCGCATGTAGGTATCTATATTAAAAGCGCAAGAGATATGAAAAGAAAATTTATTTTTTAATACTTAAAGTAAGAAAATGTAAACAAAGCTTTTTTAACATATTAACAAAAGTCACAAATGTAGTTTTCGGGACTTTTGGCTCCACTGCATTCTTTATGCACCCATTGTCCACAACTTGTGCATCTGAACACCATGTTTCCGTCTTTTTGCCGAAGTCTCCACATAATATGCAGATATTAGTTTCACCTCCCTCGTTGATTATGTCATCCAACTCATCGTCATTGCAAAGACCTTCTTCATCAAAATCGCTTTCTTCAGTATCGCTATCCTCCAAGATTTTTTTGTTTATTTTTTGTTTGATTATTTTTTGTACTTTGGCTTTCTCTTTATTTTTATTTAGTTTTAATCCTGCATCATTAACCAATACTTGTCTGGTTACTTTTTTCTTTCCTTCTTCCGACTTCGCCAGTTTTTCTTTTTTTTATTCTCTTTTTCTTCTAAAATTCTTTTAAAGGGGTGCTTGTTAGAATTTCAGAATGTTGCTTTTGTCGTTCATATTTTCTTTTAATTTTTTTATTGGGCAAAGGAACGGCCTTATCAATATTTGCCACCTGATCATATGCTAACTTAAAAATCTCGGCGACATCATATGGAGTAATTTTATCTTCAAACTCTGAGTTGCTGATCTTAGATTTTAGAAAGGAATTGCAATGGCGACCATACGCATATTTTAATGCAGAAAAAAATGACACATCAAGAGGTTGTAATTTGTGGGATGTGTGGGGTGGAATACTAACCATTATAATCCCATTCTCTTTGCAGTAATTATAAATATCCAGTGAAATATGGCTCGAGTGATTATCTAATACTAACAGCACGGGATTATCTGGACTAGACAGGACTTTTTTTTTTGGAAATTCTTCAGCCATAATAAAAAACATAGACGTATTGCTCCATCCATTATCCGTGCAGTTGTAAATCGCACCGCTTGGTCCATTTTTCTGAAGCTGTGGGCTCATCCTCTTCCTGGGAAATATAAATAATGGAGGTATGTAGTTGCCGGAGGCACTGAACGCCATTATTACCGTGATATTCTTCCCTCGTTCCCACGAAGAAATGATTCCAAACTGCTTTACTCCTTTGGGTCCAAGTCTTTTACATGATTCTTTAGGAACCGTAGATATACCGGTTTCATCAACATTGTAAATGCGATCTGGCAGAAATTTATATTTTTCTTGCACTGTTTCCAAATTTTTAAAAAAGCGGTCTACTTCTATTTTATTGAAGGCTGTTATCCTATTAATGCTTGTAGCTTCTGGCTTTCTCAAGGAAATTTGAGGATTTCGTTTTATAAATCCTAGATACCAGTCTTTTCCAGCTATTTGTTTATTCTTATTAAAATTGTGTTTAATTTCATTGCGTTCTGCATAAGCAAATGCCATGGTTCTCAGCTCTATGCAAGTGATACCAAAAAATAAATTGGCCAGCTTGAGAACATGATCTAGTTTCTCCTTTTCATGATGTGCCGAAAACAATGGGGCTCTACCAAGAGACTCTGATTTGACTTCCTTTAATAAATTTTTAACCTTAAGTTTTCTCCTAATGTAGCTTCTGGTATTGAAAATGCCCTTGCCACTTCCCGAATTTTACGACCATCTCTACAAATTGCATTCAATGCTGCATTAAGAGCTGCTGCAGAAAATGATCCTCTCTGTGTTTTTTCGTATATATTTTCCAATTTCTAAAAAAGAAAAAGATGCCTCAAAATGCAAAATAGACACTAAATAATAAATATTCTATACTAAATTGTTATTTAAGGTAATGAACTGAAAAGGCAAAGATGACGCACTATAACAGCAAAGATGACGCAGTCTGCGTCAACTTAGCCTGTTCAGCATAACCTACAAAAAATGGTTATCAAAATTATCCATCATCAAATATTAACAGATAAATCCTCGCTAACTGAAAATAAATATCACCTACTCCCATGAATATGAAGAAAAATCCAATGGAACCATTTTTACACAACTTACCATTAATATTCGCAGTGTCAAAAATAACAAGAAATCAACGTGTATCGCGTTACTCTGCCTCACAGATACTAAACAGTACGAAAGCTGACCGATGAAGTTTTAAAGTAATAGTAGTTTCTAAAGGAGGCGCCACGGGTATAAAAACTGAATTTAGTGAAGTACTTGAAAAAATACAGAGGTGCGTCATCTTAGATGCTGCGTCATCTTCCCCGTCCTTCCCCTACGAGCCGCTTCCCATATCAGTTGGCCCAACATTAGATTGGACCTCTAAATTAGATTAGATATGGATAAAACCTCTGGATTTAACGTACTTATGAAAATATCAACGAATGTTGACATATATGTAGTCCAGACGTCAGAGAGTTAAAAATAATAAGAACAAGTTGAATTTTGTCGACAATATTATTTTTGTTACCCCAAAAAAGGTGTAAAAAATTTACCACTTTTAGCCCCGGGGTTCTCAAGGCTGAAACAAATAAAATGACAGCTAAGACCACGCCCTAAGATTTACAATATTAATTAGTGTAAGTTAAATTATTATGAAAGCAATCATTATTATTAGAGAGAAAAAATATCTATCTTTACTTTAAAAGTTCAAACAAAAAAAGTTACATTAGGTTACACTTTAAGATTTCTGGGGTTACCTTCACTGCTACCGATCAATAATCTATCTCCAAATTGTAAAAGATACTATAGGACGGCTTCTTAGGACAAATACAAACTTGAGATTGAAAGTTTGGAACACAAACTTTATGCCGGGCTTCTTAAAAAACAGAAATATATAAAACTGGACACAACGGCAACATGCAACGGGATCGAAATTGTTGCAGGCAATACAAATCCCTTAGGTACTTAAAAAAAATGGAAATAGTGATTACACTTTTCTAAACTGACATATTACATAGAGTATAGTCAACTATTTTAAACAATTTTTGCCGGTCTCTTTACCAACTCACTAAATATGTCCGCTCATTTGCGTTATAACCTCGTATCACTTATAAATAACCTTGAATCACTTCCAGTTCTTAAAATCGTAGAAATAAACATGTATTATATTATATGGGTTATATAACTTTGTAGCCCAATTCTTTCTTTGGGGGATTTGATTGTAAACAAAGACACCAAAATTTATATATAGCCAAGGAGTGTACTACAAAATTTTTATAGTTGCATTTTATAGGAAATTATATTGCTACAAGATTTTGAAGGTTAGGCTCTAGTAATCGAAACTTTATAGTGGTCAGTCAATGAAACATATAGATTTTATTGATCTCATGAGAGTAATAAAATATGGCAAAAATCGCGCCACGTTTATTTATTTAACACCTTTATAAAAACTGAGTTTATTCGCGACAAAATACAAAAATTGCATACGAAAGCTGCGTGTTTTACCTTTAAAACGCATTTTGATTTTTGTCGATAGGACACTTGGATCAAAAGATATCGAATTTTTACCGTCGAGATGATAAAAATTTTACGATAAAAATTTTAAAAAGTACGTTTATTGACGCGTCAATTTCCACTTCGGAAATCGTTCGTTAGTATTTTGAGAACGATTTCCGAAGTGGAAATTGAAACGTCAATAAACGTACTTTAATCTTTAATTGTGGCTTATTCCCAGTTAAATAGTAATTAATTTAAAATGCCACGAGAAAATAGCTTCAGAACAATATTGATTTCGTGCACCTGACTGACATTCAAAATCGACGGTCGCTTCAAGCGTTGTTTCTGAGAGAACGGTTCATTCTACACAAAAAGTGCCAATAATCATTTTTGTTTAAAATTATCTCAGCTACATTTTTTATTTGAAACATTTTTTTCTACGGCGTACAGATTCTTAGTAAATCGTTTTTTTTTGCGTTTTTACCGCCCTACGTGTGGGGTTTTAGGGGGAAATCTGGGGGTTAAAGTGGTAAACTTTTTTGCATTTTTTGGAGTCCCAAAATTAATATTCTCGACAAAATTCAGCTTGTTCATATGATTTTTTGAGGTTGAGTGGCATGACGACTGGAATAATAAGTGAATGCATAGCCAGGGTTTAGTGAAATTTTTTTATTGTTGAAAATAAATAAAAAACCATAAGGGTAATGTTTTAAATAAATATTAATAAAAATTATATATTAATGCGTATGGGAACTTATAAAAACATGCAGAGTATAATTTGTTTATGGTAATCGACTTAAACTGCAAATTTCATAGGTGGACCAACTGATACGGGAAGGGGCTCGTAAGTGTCTCATTTTATAGACTGGATAACTGAGGAGGTAATATACAAGCAGCCTTAAGTCACACAAAAATCAAAGTTGAGTTAGATGTGCCAATGCATTGTTCTGTTGTAGCCAAAGTGGTTTATTTTATAGGATTCATGCAAAAAAATTAATACCAATGGTAAAAGCATGTTAAAACCACCTTGACATGCAAAACAACTTATTTCCACTAGACTGGTCCATGCTAACCAGCTTATTTCCAACCAACTAATAGAAGCTCTGCAGCTGCCACTCAGCTGACCCAGTGAGTCTTACAAATTTGAGGATATGTGATGGCGTATTGTTTATTGTAAATGATAATTACTTTATCATTTAGAGGATAATGGATGGGGCAGATGGAATTGTAAGTGTTGGTGAAGAAAATGAAGGGACCAGAAAGAAAGGAAAGAAAGTTACAAGAGGAAAAAGGAAAAGTAAACAAATACCAAGTATATAGCTTCTAAGAGAGACCTAGTTTTTGTACCGTTTAAGTGCAATATAAACGTTTTACATGAGAAAAAAATAAGGTTCATTTACATCAACTTTTTTAAAGAAGAATTTTTATAAAGTTCCAGTAAAGGTTTTGGAAAGTTCCTACCACACTTAAAGTACGTGCTGCCTTCTCAAAGAACAAATTAAAAGTGCACCAGCACAGTCTGCTGAAAAGACGCAGCTAATGGTTAAAAACCGGATTCATTCAAGAAGAGCAAAAGCTTTTTATGAGTACATGAAAATGGATGTTTGTTTCTCTTTCTGTTAGCCTTTGCTTTGATCTTCAAAAAATTCAGCCACAACCGAAAATTCCAATTTGGTTTTATAACTTTTGTATTACTGATCTAAAAACTCAAAACCACATGTTCTACTTTTGTACGGAGAAGCAGACAGGAAAAGACAGTGTGGAAATATCATCCGCTCTCTTTAATTATTTAAAACAAGTTGATGTTTAGGCTGTTCTGTACTAAGGTTATTTAGTGATGGTTGTGTTTCTTGGATTTTTCTTGTATTCCTGAGAATACTGATTCATTTTTTGGAAACACACAAAACATCAATCCAAATAATTTTATTGTATTTTGCTGTACGCGCACACGTAGTTTTTTACCCACCGACTGTGTTTTTGGAAGAACAAAAAAGTAGTTACGAAAAAAATCCATAATTTGAATGTAACAGGAATACTATGACATCTACAGTGGCATAAGCAAGGTAAAAGCACTAAGAGTGGTAAGAGAAGATTGGCCACTTCTTGAAACTAAGAAACTAAGTGAATAATATAAGGACATCCAATCAATTAGTGAAATGAAGAGAATTGAATTATGCTACCAGACACAACAAAAAATTAAACATCTCAAAAAAAAGAGAAAATTGAAGGGAAAAGAGAATCTTACAAAAATATTGTGTTGGTAAGGGACTTGAAAAAATACAGCTATGAAGGAAAAGAGTCTTTTATATCTTTTAGAAAAAAGAAGGTAAGGCCTATATGATTATTTTACAAAAATAGAAGTTCATTCAGAAAATCATTGTTGCTTTACTATTGTTTTTTTACTTTATTTACATGCAAATCATCTTTATGTTCACAACATTTTCCATACAAAACGACTTATTTCCACTGAGTTCGTGCAAAAGCCTTTTTGCCAAAACAAAATCAATTTTTTAAACTATTTTTGAGCTACCCAATTAAATTAAGTGTTTTAATCTCATGTTTGGAACCAATACTATTTGATTGGAACATTGACATTAACATTGATTAGAACTCATTATCCTTTTTCACAGTAAAGCTGTAAGTTATTTGCTCTCCATGAAAAATTACTTATTTGTGACTTAAGCTTGTTTGAATTTTACCTTCTCAACTATATTATTTTTTATTTTAATTTATACTGTTTTTAGAGAAAATTTTTAGTTTTATATATGCACAATTCAAGGGAGGAATTTTCAACTAAATTTGTAAGATATTTACGAGATGAAGAAATTGCTGGTATTTTGAAAGACTATTTCTATATTATTGGATGGGATGTTGAAAACAGAACTTATCACAGGGCACTTTGTAAAGCTCTAGAAGATGCTAACTTCGGTCAACTATCTGCATTAATTCAAGCTGAAGCCTGTTCTGCAGTTATTATTCAAAATATAGACGGTTCTCCCAATATTCTTCCATTTTTAATTGGAGACAACGTAGATTCGAGCCGAGATTCCTTTTTATTGTGTCTACAAAATAGTCGCGACTTTTTGATTGTGGATCGCAAGCTTGCAAATGGCTTAGATGGTTCTTCACAGCGCAACGAAATGACTTCGGAAGCTTTTCAAAAAATTATGGCAGACAGACTTGGCGACAGAGATTACGATAGTTTCGCTTTCGACCAACATGATCTGTTGAAAAAGAAAATTGGTTTTGCATTGTTTGGTCCACCTGTACAAGAAACAGGATATGACGAAGTTCAAAACTCTCAAATTGAAAATTTGTTCAAGCCTATTTTAAAACACAATAGTAAGTACGATTAATATATTTTATTATTAACTATATTACATTTCATAAAATAATGTGAACTTGAAAGTCTTCTTCTTATCTTCTAGCCAAACAAACCGTAGAATCCAAAATAGGATTTATGAACAATCCATCTCTGTTCGCAATTCCTAGTCATTTTCAGTTCTAGTTCAACACCATCTTCATACAGGTCACAAAATTGATTTTAAAAAGCTCCAGGACCATAGCCTCAACCCCCTTGTATAAAACAAGAATTATTCAACAAGTCTTTTAAAAATTTACTGTCTCAATAAATTATATATTTTGAATTTAAAAAATTATTTCAAAAAAATTAACTGTTTTTCATATATGAACATATCATTGATGGCAATTTAAAAAATATATGGGAGCGCGATTTTTAGCATTGGAAAACACACTAAAAATCCTGGCCACGCCTATGGTGTCACACTGGTATGGGTTGTAGGTAACACGGCAATGAAAGAGCTGGTTAGCAGAAAAGCAACAATGAAATAATTTCGGTCCAGAGACTGCCATGGAGTATTAAAAAGAATCTTTTTAGCACTCGACTAAAAAAAGCCTGGATCCGAAGACAACATATCTCGCTGGCATGTGTTAGTTGGATCGAAGAACAGATGAGTCTCTTCATAATTAAATATACTGATCGGAAATGAATATTTCTTATATTATGTCTCAGTTCATTAAATCCCAAAATTATTTTTGACCCAAGACTTTTCACGCGCACTTTATAATTAATCTTTAGATACTATCCAATAATACATTCAATCAAAATAAACTATCTATCATTTCTAAAACTCACAGTACGTAAATATTTTAATTTCTAGGAATGTATTGCATTTATGAATATGTTTTTATGTTTTCAGATTTATACGCCGAATACCAAGATCAGGTTGAACTAGCTTTCATTTATGTTGTCTTAGAGCCAACTGATAAACAAGCAACAATTAGCAGAAAAAAAGACCCAAACTATAATCCACGTGTTGATATATCTCCTATTCCGATATTTGTTTTAAGAAAGTGTCGAGTACAAAAAGGTGAAGCTTGCAGAATTTTTATAGATCACGGTGGCAGAGTGTATTCGAATTGGCAAGATTATTTAAAAAATAACAAGTTACCTGAAAGTATAATGGTGTTACCATTAAATGGAAGGTAAGTAACCCAATGTGTTGTAATTATTAAGAGGATTATTTATTTATTGTAACATTTGAACCATAATTTCATGATAAATTTCATGATTTTGGATTTCTCATTGCTTATGTTCACTGCATTGCATTATGTTATGTTGATGAATTCTCATTGAAGTCCATTCTTCAGCTATAGTGAGAGATTGTTGCATTTTATCTCTTTGAATTTGTCATTAAATTTGTCGTGGCCTAAGATGGTAGGACATGATGTCCGTCGTTACGAAATCGTTGTGATTGCCTAATAGGAAATGTTGTCGAATGCTCCCTCTTTATTAATAAATGCATCCAACATCACTTCTTGGTTTTATATTACGTACTTTCTTACCTCCTTCTTTTGTTTCTATGAGCTCTACGTCATGCTGATACGCCAGCTCAATTTGGTGGTGACCTTGAAAAAGTCTGACTCTAAACCAACTCGAGGCCACTTACTTGTGCCAAATAATTTTGTAAAAGAAAATTCAATAATAATTAATAGGAGGATGTGTTAGTAAACACTACAAAAAGTATTGAGCATTGTAGGTTATAAATTTAATTTATTAATTAAAAGGAATTTTATCAAAATGCTGACTGATTCTTCAGTAAATTTATTTAAAATGGAATATTATAGTAATTGGTGAATTATAATTCATATAAATGAATTATACACACATCAAAATAATTTAGGGGACACCTCTATTAATAGCTTTAAATCAATGTTAGCTGTAAATATAAAAATAAATTAAGGTTTTTAATATTTTTTGTTGTTTTGTTGATTATTGTACGAATTTGGTGGGTAATCCTGATATGAATGACTAAAAAAAGTTTAACAAAACTTCAATATGAGTTTTCTATCAGATAGAAAGTAATATTTCTTTGCTGGTACCTGATTTTCGATGTCTGTGTTGATTTTTATTTAGTTTTGCAAGTATAAAAGTAATTGCCAATAATGAAGAGACATCATTTAAATCGCGAAACGCAGTGGCGTGCTATCGGGATGCTTCAAGCTGACAGAAGTCAAAGCGACGTTGCTTATGGACCTCTACACCCAGCGGTCGGGGAACGGGGGTAAATTACCCCAAATGGGTGATAAAATGAAATTGATCGGGTTTTTTAGGGGTAAAAAATGAAATTGTGAGAAAAAAGTATATATTTTAATTTGAATTTTTATAAAACCTGTTTAGCACTGCACCGAATTATTTTGTAATTATTTGTTGAAGGATTAAAATACACCCAATAATACCACCAAACCAATGTAAACTTATTTTTATATGCTCTGGGGCAAATTTTCAACCCAAAGCCCCCCTCTGGGTGCGCCACTGCACTCCTCAACAGTAGAGTGTTCTCGAGAAATATCTATGCGCAGGTGTAAAGCGCAAGCCCCGAGTCCCGGCTACCTGCATCGGTTCCCTCCCAGTCCGTAGCGTGCAGGGCAGTATTACAATTAAATGGACGAGTCAGGCGTTCATCCATTAATCATCGAAATATCGATCAAGGTAAAGCGCCCAATTAGAAAAATTAAATAAGTATTTTACAAACAAATAATTTTCTGACTCCCATCCGAAGGCAGCACACTACAAAAGAACAATATCAAGACGCAATTCCATTAAATTACGGTAATAATACACCAAATAGCAGCGTGATCAGGACCATAAAAACCACCGATTGAGAATTGTAAAGAAGGAATTGACAACCGAAATTAACAAAAAACGACAACCAGTGACGCAAACATAACGAACAAAAGCCAATCACACCTGTCTTCCAAACCGCCGCGCAAACTATGCATATTAAGAAACATCTGATTAACAGACAACGAATGACTCGCAACTTGTTAGGTACAAAAGATCAGCGATCCAGAAAAGGGCTAGCTTTGACAGTAGCCTGGTGGATTGCTTCGAATAAGGACCAAAAACTATTGGATACGCAATGGATATAACAAGCTGCTGTAAATGACAGGATTAAGTGAGGTCCCCAAAAAGAAGCGAACAAACTAAATTCAGTGCCCTTGATCAGCTGAGCAAAGGTTGCCCACTCCAAAAACATCATTCGCAGACCACTGTGATGAACACGAAAATAACAAAACACCCAGTCAAATCAATAGGCTCTTACAGGCATGATGCATCAAAACCAGATAAACGTGACACCCAACACAGCAACACGTGTACCTATACTGTTCGCTAACACCGGCGGAGCCATAAAAATTTTATGAGGACTAGATGATTTGGAAATGCTGAACAATTGGCCAATGTGCAGCAGGTTTATAGACAGCAAGGCGGCAGTATAATGGTATGGCGTGGCATCACTCTTGGTGGAAGAACGAATCTCCTTTGTCTGAGAATGGTTTTTAAATGCAACAGACTACCGCGATATTATTCTACAACCTATGATCGTACTCTTTGCACAACAAGCTGGTCCCAATTTTAATTCATACACGACAATGCGCGTCCGCATATTGCCTGTGTTGTGTGAACATTTATCGAATATAATGAAATTGAGGTTTTATCATGGCCTGCACAATCGCCAGAGTTCAACCCAATTGAGTATGAATGGGACATATTGGGCAGATGCATTTTACAAAAAAATATTGCGATCAATACAGAGAGCAACTGTATGAGGGCCTTTCAATGGAGTGGAATAGAATACCGCAGCAAGACTATTGACATATGATCATGAGTTTGTCTTACAGATGTAGGACAGTAATCAACAACCGTGGAGGTCATACACTGTACTAACTTAATCTAAAGCCTACTTTGTTGGGAGTTGAGGGACAAACATTTTTTTTTTGTTACAATATGTTTACTTATAGAGTCCTCTTTGATTTTCTTAAGAGCTAATGTGTGTATGTATAGGTCAAAACCCGGAATGATTCTTATGGGACTTTAAGAAAATATGTGATTTAGGTTCTCTATTAGGCCACATTCACAGTAAGGGTTGTCCGCGAAATTCAGTTTGAAAAGATGTTGATTTGTTGATGGAAAATATTTTGTACTCTGTAATATTGATATGATTTTTTACTAATTAAAGTTTTCCAAGTGTTTTTGAATTTATCTTTAATTTTATTTGTTCATTTGTGAGCATATGTTGAAATGTTCGTCGCAATTTCGAACGGCGACTTTATAATTGTATAAGCATTGGTGGAGATCATTTTGGACATTAATTTAATTACAAAACAATTATAGCTGATGAGTTAACTGTTTTGAATTATGAATTTATTCCTTCAAAATTTAGTTTATTTTATTTACGTTACATTTAATAAAATTTCCTATTAATGTTGCAAATTTCGTTTTAATGTAGTTTTGAACTTGAACGAAAAAATATTTATTAATACTTGCAAAAAATAGGCATTACTTAGTTTTTGACAGGAGCAACACTTTAAATTAACTGATTTTTTTAAGAACGATTTTGAGAACGATTTCCGAAGTGGAAATTGAAACGTCAATAAACGTATTTTTATCTTTAATTATGGCTTATTCCCAGTTAAATAGTAATTGATTTTTTTAAGGTCTAAAGTCAGCCTAATGTTATTTTTGTTCTACAAAAGGTCTTATTCCATTTTTTTATTACTCTGTACACAAGTAATCTTGTTTCTTGTCATCTGTTTCGTTAACCTTTCAGTTAATTATCTTAAAACGGCAACCATTTGTTTTAAAAAGATTCTCCGCTCACGATCCGAATATTAAACTAAATAATATTGTATCTCTTTTAAATTGAAATACAAAAATTTTTACCGATTAATTTTTAGATACCGAGTAAAGAATGACAGGGTATTACTCGAAAAGCACGAAACTCCCAGCTGTGGGGTATTAAACACGGTACTAAAAGTTAGTGATATAAGTAGTACAGTTGCTGGCGTAGGATCTGGTACTCTGATGTTTGCTGGTGCTTTAACAAGTGTTATTGCTGCACCCGTTCTTATTGGTGCAGCTGCCGTAGGAGCTACAGCTGGTATTTACAGTATTACTAGAAGTGCATTTGGTTTAGCTGACAAAATAACTCACGACGAAGTAAGTAAAACTGTTTAAAAAAATTTAACGTATTAAACGAGCACTGAAAGACGTATGTGGCGTCCTTCATCATTTTTAGTGACGAATTTAGATTTCTCGTCCCAACTCCACCTTACCAAATTTCGTGTTATTATCCCATGCCTGTCACGAAATATTCAAAAATAAAAGTTTAACTTTGACACCCTTTATTTTGGTTATTATCAACATTCGTACTAAAGTAAGTTAGTTTAAATCGGCCTATTCTAATCTCAGGAATCTAAGATTAAGTTATGACACTACGACACTAAATACAGATTACTGAAAATAATCCTTCAAGGAAAAGTATTCGGAAAGCGAGGAATTGGGGGAATAAGAATATCATGGTTAAAAAACCTGAGGAAATGGTTCTCCGCAACAACAACTAATCTGTTTAAAGCATCAATTAATAAAATAATTATAGCCAGAATGATTGAATGAGAAGGACATTTGGATCATCATGAATTTATACTGGAACCAGCGTGCTCAAGTCAAGGTCGAAGACCAGCTGACCGACCAAGTGGAGATTATGCGAGGAGTAAGGCAACGCTGTGTGCTATCGCTGACTCTTTTCAATATATACTCTGAGGAAATTTTTACCGAAGCCCTCACAAACCTAGAGATGGGAATCCGAGTGAACGGTGAATTCATCAATAATATCCGCTACGCCGATGACACTGTGTTACTAGCAACCAGCCTAAACGATCTGCAGGCCTTACTAGACCGAGTGCGAACTGTGAGCGTAACATACGGACTGAACCTTAATATTAAGAAAACTAAATTCATGGTTGTCGGCCGTACAAATTTAGATCTCGGGGCACTAATGGCAGGTAGCGAAGAGATCCAGAGAGTCGACAGATTCACTTACCTCGGAACTACCCTCAACTCACAATGGGACTACGCTCAAGAGATTAGATCCAGAATTGAAATGGCACGGTCTACATTTATTAAGTTGAGATCCTTGCTGTGCTGCAGTGATCCCAGTTTGGGAACCAAGATGCGGATAGTGAGGTGCTACGTTCTTCCAGTGTTACTATATGGAGTTGAAGCCTGGACACTGACGCAAACCACTGAAAAACGAATCGAAGCCTTCGAGATGTGGATATACAGAAGGATACTAAAAATATCTTATGTGGACCATGTCACCAAGGTTGAGGTCCTACAGCGCATGACAAAAGAAAAAGAAGTGCTTAATTTAATTAAACAACGTAAGTTTGAGTACCTCGGTCACGTGATGCGGAACGAAGAAAAATATCGAATTCTTCAACTCGTTATGCAGAGTAAAGTATTTGGCAGAAGCGGACCGGGACGCCGTCGTATCTCGTGGTTGAAAAATTTCCGACAATGGTTTGGGATGACCTGAAGAAGAAGAATGATCTCCAATATTCGAAACGAATAGGCACCAAAAAAAAGAAGATATTTGAGATATTTAAAATATTTGATATGTCTGAGAAGGTCTTTTTATTATGGCTTGTAAAGATTTTTGGATATTTGTTTTCAGCATTCCGTCACTAAAGATACAAACACATTTTATATGGGATCTTTACAATGTAGGGATTTCGAATACAACAGGTAGAACCTGACAAGGGATATCAATGATCTTTACTTAAGTATAAAGCTTAAAATATTATCAAATAGTTTTTCTTTTGTTGTATCGTAATATTAAGATTTCAACAATAATTATTAATTGCAGAATTTAAGTATTTTTAACTCAGAAGCACGAGGAATCTATATTAATATTCTGGCTGGATCTTTGGGATTTGTTGGAGCGGGTGCAAATATGGCTGTTTCTCAATTAATTGCACGTGGAGCCAATATTGGTCAGGTAAATATAGTTACTCATTTTTATCATTATTACTTTATATCACGAACAAGTTTTAAATTATGCTCATATGAACCACCTGCAACAATAAGTTTTAAGTATTCTTGATATGGTTCTAATACTTGTAATAGATAGGGGAGAGGTGGGATAGTTGATCCTGGTGGGATACTTGATCCCCATTTAAATTTGGCGCCCAATGATATCCTATTACTGTTCTGTCGACATACTTGGGTAAAGGCCATACTGTTTACTTTGTTTGGACAAATGGCTGCTACTTCAGAGCACGCTTGACATTTTAATGAAGATTATTCTATTATGTGACATTGAAAGTTTATTTTAAGTATGCGAGGTAAGTTAAGACAACTTTAATTCTTTTAGTTTATAATTATACTGTCCAAATAGTTAAAACATTTGTACTTTGATCCACTAAGTACTAAAACATTTATATTTAAATTGTAACTGTTTTAACCTAAAACTTGCACTTGTTAGAAAAATGTCATTACAGGGATAGTTGATCCTATTAAATGGGGGATACTTGATCTTAGGATGCTACAGACTACGCTGTCATTAAGGACACCAGAAGCCACAAGCTTGGCACGAAGCTCAGCTTTTAATCATCACACAGTTGGTACATTCTTTAATAAGTTAACAAATGTTTATACACGGCACCAGTTTCCTCCTGAACGTATATGTAATATTGACGAAACTGGCCTCACTACAGTATACAAACTTGCTAAAACAATTGCTGTGAAAGGGTCGAAGCAGGTGGGCAAAATTACGTCTTCAGAACGAGGCGAACTGGTTACGGTATGTGCTGGCATCAATTCTGCGGTGGATCACATGTCTCCTTACATCATATTTCCCAGAAAAAACTGGCAGAACAGATTTCTAAGCCATGCACCTCCTAGCAGCAATGCAACAACATATACCAGTGGATGGATGACTTGCTCTGGTTTTCTGAAGTTTTTGGAATACTGTTCGTTTTGCTCAGCCAAGCCTAGATCGGAAACATTTAATTGTTATGGACAACCATAAGAGCCACTGCTCATTGGAGGCTGTAAATTATGCAAGAGACAACAGCATCGTATTTCTTACAATTCCGCAACACGCCTCTCATAGGTTGCAGCCATTGGACGGCGCGGTTTTTGATCCACTAAAGACTTACTACTCCCAAGCAGCTTCCAATTGTATACTCAAATTTCCCGGGAGAACTATTACCATTTACGACATTGCCGAACTGCTTGGAGATGCGTTCCCCCGAGCCATGGCTCCTTCAAATATCATAAGTGGGTTCAAAGTATCTGCAATATGGCCGATAAATCCAAACATAGTTACTGACGACGAATTTATGGCCAGCGCTGTCACGACCGTCCATACCCAACTTTGATGCAGGAATCAGTTCTGGATTCAATACAGCCAACGCCTAGTGTTAGTACATCAATTTCTATAGAACCAAAGTAGTCTAAGGCTCTAAAACCTCGCACTCCAACATAAGATATAATGTCTCTGAAACATTTTCTCTACAAGACATCATGCCCTATCCCAAGGCAGCATTTCGTAGCAATCTTCTCGAGGTAGAAAACGGAGGCGCTCTCGCATCCTAACTGATCTCTGAAAAAGCGGAAATTAAAGAACTTGCTCTTAAGAAAGCCGAAATCAATACAAAAAGAGCAGAAAAGCTTTCAACACTTAGAAACACTGAACTTTTCGATTCGACTGATGTAGAGGAGGATGATCTTCTCAGCCTTCCAGATAGCAGCAGTGGCTCTGATTTTCTTTTAGATGATGAACTTATTAATGACACGGATCCTGAGCCAGACGACTCCGTTTTAGTCAAGTTTTGTACTAAAAAACAATGAAGTTTTATGTTGGAAAAGTTTTGTACCTGAAAGAAAATACATTGGAAGTTAAATTCTTAAGGCCAAAGGGACTAGGAAGCTGTTTCACTTTTCTAACAGTAGAGGATGTCAGCGAAGTTAACCGGACAGACGTACAAAAGCTGCCGCAGCCGTCCGTTAGCAGAACGGCCAGGACTGCTGACATAAAATTTAACCATAGATTTGATGCTAATGTTTTCTAAATAATTGTTCTTTTTGGCTCAATTTATTTTTGTATTTTATGTTTTTATTTAATAAAGTAAGTAGTTTAATGTGTTTCATTGTTTAATTTAATTAACTTTCATAATTGGCAATAATTACTTATGCTATGCATCATAGGTGGGATACTTTATCCCGACGATCAAGTAGCTCCCTCACCTCTCCCCTAGTGATAAAAAATTGTTCGTCTGTGACTATGTCTCAAAAAAAAAAGAACACATTGCATCATCCAAATACACTGAAGTGCAAAATTAACCGGATAGTCAGATTTTTTGTGGTACTGTACCTGATTATAAGTTCGACTGTAGGATTTTGTATTATTTCCTGTTTAAAACGTGCATTAAAAAAGATATGACACTAGAAGAAGTAGCACAAGCTGTTGCTTTACAAGATGATGGGCGGAGCATTCGTTACATCACAAATACTTTATTAGTTTCTTGAAGTACAGTATTTGATGTAATACAAAGATTTCGGGAAACAGGACAATACACCAGGATGCCAGGTCAAAGTAGAGGAAGAACCACAAGCCAAGTTAAAGATCGCTTTCTTAGATTACAAGTTTACACTCCATTAACAGAAGATCATCGGAGGCAACGTTTACACTTCGCTCGTGAACATCTTAATTGAGGTGTTGAGAAGATTGGTAAATATGCGCAAGCAGTGAAGTGCTATTGGCTCAGTGGAACTCCTTGTGTCTGGGAGATGGGATCATCACTCGTAAATGGGATAGTCCATATGTAACAAGAACAGTGCCCCAAGTTGTTCCCTCAAAGACATGTGCTAAGGACTTACTTGCACGATAGCCGCTCCGGGGGTCATTTTGGAATCAATAGGGGTATAGCTAGAGTCCGTGAGAGGTATTACTAGGTTACTTGTCGGCAACATATAAAAGAATGGTGCTAACGATGTAATTTGTGTGAATACAAGAAGGGACCCAAAACGAGACTTAAGTGAAAACTCAAACAATACATCACCGGGACTCCACGGCACTAAGTTGCTGTCGATATTCTGGGACCAAGTAGTTGCACTATTCAACCAAGTAGTAATCACGGTTATTGAGACCCTGCTTGAGAATGTCGTTTCCCGACATGGGGTTCCACTACTACTCCATAATGATTAAAGGCGCATGATAATAAACTTAGAATCGGAAATTTGGAAAGCCATGATGGCACTTTGCTTGGAGTTAAGTAGACCAGAACGACACTGGTTCATCCTCAGTCCAGCAGCATGGTAGAAACACATAGCCGGGCTATCAACAACTATATGTCGCCGTTTGTACATGAAAACCAGAGAGACGGAAAAATTGGTGCCTCCATTTCTGCAAATCTACCGAAGCTACCAACGTGAAGCAGAAGAGACTTTGTCCTTATAAAGAACAGAATCCACCAAACTGGTCCATTTATATACTTTTCGGACAGACATTTAAAAGAAGAGGGCGATGTTATGATTTACATATCTCTGTTTGTGGCCCCTATGCATTAGACAAGTCCAGAAGTCTTTCTCCACCGCATAAATATTTCAAGAACTGATTCTATTGACGCAGAGATGGCCTTCTAGAGTTTACGGAGTTCTCGTCGCCGAGTTAGCAGAACCAGTGGCGCACCCAGAATTTGTCTGAGGGGGTTTTAAATTTTTTTTATGCTACCTCCATTTTGAGTCCCTAAAATTTGGGTTTAAGTTTAATTTAAAGTATTAAAGATAGCAGTGCCAAAATTCAGGTATCTATTATCTTACCTACCAACTAAAACTACCCCCTCTTACTTGTGCGCTGTTGACTGTCGCACGTGTCGCACTCCGAAAGTGGGGTGGCCGCTGTAAGGCTGACGACATTTTTGAAACACTCCCTTCTCTTATCTAGATCTTATCTATTGTTATGAAGCTATTTTTTGTGGCATTTTAAAGTAATTACTATTTTAATGGGAATAAGTCACAATTGAAGGTTAAAATAAGTTGATTGACATTTGACATTAATACAACTTGTAAATACAATACATTTTGTGTCCGAACTATATTTAACCTTTTCTTTCTATTCTGTCAATGGCCATTTCTGAAGAAACTTGAGCTAGGACGACTTGGTCATCCGAAAAGTTCAGTGAGAATAGTACGTCATTTCCTATGGGGATTCCCATTACCTGGAAGTGGTTTTTCCAATTTTGGAAGGCTGCCTCAATATATAAATTAAACAGTAAGGGTGACATACTGCATCCTTGTTTTAGTCCATTGGCTCAGTCTATTTCCGAGTTATAACTGACCGAGGATATCCAGATTCGCCGTGGGGTCCGCCAAGGGTATATTTTATTACCCTTGTTATTCAATTTATACAGTGAAGCCATCTCAGAATTAGCGCTTGCCGAGATCAGTGAGGGCCTTATAATAAACGGTGAGCCACTTAATAACATAAGATATGCTTACGACGCCGTCCTTCTGGCAGGAACACTAGAAGAACTGCAACACCTTGCTGAACAACTAAATATATATTGCAACGGTTATGGACTAAAAATTAATTTGAAGAAAACCATGTTCATGGTATTTACAAAAGCACAAAACATCAAATGGATCACAGAAGATACTGATCAGACAAAAGAAATAAGATGCCGCATTGAAATTGAACAGTCAACTTTTAATAGAACGAGAAAACTTTTTTGTAATCGCGATATCGATATATCGCTCCGGATAAGAATGCTTCGATGTTATATTTTCTCTACTCTTTTGTATGGGATTGAAGCTTGGACACTTAAAAAATCCAACATTAAAAACCTAGAAGCATTCGAAATGTGGTGTTACCGACGTATTTTGAAAATATCATGGATGGATCGCAAAACAAACGAACAAGTTCTCGAACAACTAGGAAAACAATTGCGAAGTTTTAAATTCCATCAAAATCAGGCAATTGGAATACTTGAGGACACCTTGAGAGGTGAAAAAATACGAACTACTAAGAAATATAATGCAGGGTAAAATCAAATGCAGAAGAAGGTAGGAAGACGTAAAATTTCGTGGCTAGCAATCTCCGTGAATGGTTTGGATGCAGTTCAATCGAACTATTCAGACGCGTAACCAACAAAATTATAATTGCCAGAATTATTTCCGATCTCCGATAGGAGTGGAACTTGAATAAGAAGAAGTGTTATACCTGTATTCTTCTGTGATTATTCCTAAAAGGTATGGACTAATGTCGAGTTGTTGTAAAGCTTGCCACAATTTAAGTCTTGGAGCTATATCATACGCCTTTTCTAGGTCGATAAAGGCTAGATGTACTTCGGTACCAACCGCTATTCTTTTTTTTATTAATTGTTGGAATATAAACAAGTTATCAGTGCAAGATCGCAGATCAAAGATTCAAACGTCAATAAACTTATTTTAACCTTCAATTGCGGCTTATTCCCATTAAAACAGTAATTAGATGTTATCTCTGTCGTTGGCTTGGTTGGTGTTTCTCTTCTTCTTCTTTTTTTTAATGACTGCTCGGATGTAATTGTGAACACTATTCCATCCCTCCGTACTTCCCGTCATCTTCACGATCATCTCGATCTCATACAATCTCAGGGTTCATACCTATTTCTTTATACATTCTGTTTCTCCTCACTGTACATCTATTACACTCCAGCATTGTGTGAGTAACAATGTCAGAATATTCGCATGATCTGTATCTGTCTTTCTGAACCTATAAATATAAGCCCTAAAACAGACAATCTAACCAGTCCCTTAGGCTCGGGTTCAGCATCTTGGTCCACTGGGTAACATCTTACTTGTTGTTCCACTCTTCTTGTCATCTTTCCATTGATCTTTCCCTTTCTTCTTTTTTTATAGCTGTTGTCAAATGCTCTCTTCTATCATAGATATGTCTCTTTTTCACTGCTAACACATGCAGAGTAATCCAACCCCTGATAGTCCACAAGGCCGCCGCAGATACAGTGCTGTAGGCGGATGCTACTCGCAACAGACTCGTTCTGTCTACTTTTGTCATAAGCCTAATATTAGGTATCTATATCTAAATGTAATGAAAACTATTATTAATTATTGTGTATTTATACAATAATTATTGTGTTCTACATATTTAAAGTGGTAATTTATTTATTCAATTAGCGTTTTGGATTTTTGTATTGTGTGTGAAAGACAAGTTACATTTTGCTATTATTCTTGATATTTTTTTTACTTTATATGTCCTGGGGGAGGCACCTGGATGCGCCACAGAGCAGAACTGTTATAAATGATAATTATAACGTAATTAGTAATTGTAATATTTGTAATTAAGTCAATTTTTGAGTTAAACAAAGTTAATTAAACCAAGTAGTTAATCTCTGAATCCACAGAACAGCATAACAATATTATAAAATTAGTTTTTGGTGATATCTCAGTAGTACTTTAATTTCAGGGTGTTGGATTGGCAGTTAATGCAATTAGTGTGGCAAACATAGGAATTAGCGGTATTGGTATCATAAACTCCAGCTACGATGTCTTTGATATGTGGATAAACCATAATCAGGCTCCTTCCGCATTAATGATATTGCAGTTGGCTTCTTCAGTATTGTTCTTTGGAAATGCAGTATATAACTTCAGAACTGTTGGACAAATGATAGACGAAACACAGGGTAGGGTTTTAGAAGATTATCATGACTCCTTGAGATCTAACAGACACAGGTGCGTATCTTTTATTTTATCATGCTTTAAATACTATGAATATATCGAATTCAAAATCACAATATTCGCGCCCATTGGTGAAAGACTTTGTTATATTAGACTAAAAGGAAAATGGTACAATATCTCAGTTATATCCAAACATGCTCCGACAGAAGATAAAGATGAACATATTAAAGATTACTTCTACGAACAACTCGAAAGAACGCTTGAGAAAATCCCCAAACAAGACATGCAGACAATCTGTGGAGACTTCAATGCAAAAATGGCAAAGAACCTAACCTAAGACCGATAGTAGGATAACACAGTCTCCACGACATCTCAAACGACAATGGACAAAGGCTCGTAGAGTACTTAGAACAATATGCTTGTAAAGTCTACTATAATCTAACATAAAAATATTCATAAACAGACTTGGGGCCCGAATGACCACTCCACGCGGAACCAAATTGACCACGTAATTATCGATGCTAGACATGGAAGTAATGTGCTGGATGTAAGAAGCCTCGGGGAGTAGATGAAGATACAGACCATCATATAGTAAGAGCAAAAATCAGGTTGAGAATATCTTCACAGAAATCTAAGTTTCTCAACGTTTCTCAAAGGCCAACGAAGCGTTGGGCAGTGGAACATCGAGAAAATACAAAATGAGGAAATCCAAGAAAATTACAAACAAGAAATTAAACAGCATCTAAATACAATAGACCAGAGCAATGATGTCGAAAGGCTGTGGCAACAAATGGAAAAATCAATTAATGAATGGTGTATAGTCGTGTCAGTATGGGTAGGTCATCATCCCATCAAACACAACATAAACTGGCAGCTTATCATAGTATGTTACATAGATTAACAGAAATTCCGATGTCAAAATACAACTTTGAGACAGAATTAAATATAATTAAGCAACTAGCAGTAAACAACGGATACAACGAACAAACAATTAATAAAATGTTAAATCAAAAACTACACAAGAAAGCCCTGAAATTAGTATTTCCATCACCAGAGAAAAAACCCAGTACCTTCTGCTCGATTACATATACAGGCAAAATAACAACAAAAATTGCCAAACACATAAAAAAGAAAGGAATAACACCAGCTTTCCGAACAAATAACAACCTAGGCAAATATATTAAAAATAACAAGAGCCAAAATAAAAAACACTTAAATAGTGGTTGGTGTGTACAAACTTCAATGTGGCGACTGCCTAAAAACTTACATCGGTCAAACTGGTAGAAACTTTGATAAACGAATAGCAGAACATAAAAGAGCTTTCAAGAATAGAAAAACAGATTCGACATACGCACTTCACCTTCTAGATCATAATCATTCTTTTAATGACAAATTTAAAATTCTTCACATTCAAAATAAAGGCCTTAAGCTATCTTTGTTAGAATCTATGAAAATCAACAAATTAAAAAACACAGATATAATTCTGAATGACCAACTTGAGACAAACAGTTCTCCCCTCCTCAACCTATTTCATTAGAGACTATAAAGTTGTAAACGCAAGCCAAAAATAGATCACTTGAGAAAGGCAATCAGCCGAAACAGCTGTAGTGATAAGAGTTAAAATAAATTTTGTGGAAGTTTGAAAACAAAGTTTTCAGTGTTTTATTGTTACATAAAATGAATTTCCATCAAGTAACGGTCGAATCCATCAATTATTGAAAACTTAGATGTTTTGAGAGGAAAATCCTCAGAAGAATCTTTGGGCATTATCACAACATTAATAGCAACCAATACCGAATGAGAACAAATGCTGAGGTCAAGCAGACGTACAGAGCGAGTGACATAGTTCAAGAGATTAAATCCCAAAGTCTAAGATGGGCTGGGACTCCCTAATAACCGCCTTGCCAAGTTAATATGGGAGAAATCCCCCACAGGAAGAAGGCCCTTTAGCAGGATTTGGAAAACTGAGTTAGATCTTGAAAAGCACTAAAATAGAACAATATTTGAAAACCAGAATTTACGATCAGGTATCCGAATATTACATTTGTAGTTTCAGTTTTCTTCCATTAACATTTATTCCTTTATTTGCCCAGTTAATGTCTTTGAACACGTCTTCCAGTTCAAGTGTGAATAGCTTTGATGAGATAACATCTCCCTGGCGAACTTCTCTGTTGATTGGTATAGCTTTGGCTTTCGCATCTATTTATATTTTCAAAAGATTGTAAAAGTATTAAATATTATGTATGAGCATTCTGTATGGGTAGTCTATCCCGCAGTTGTCATGCTCTCTATTGCCCAAAGTTCTATGAGTCGAATGCCTTTTCATAATCAACGAAGCCAATGTATAAGTTCAAGTAATATTCATTGGCTTTCTCTATTAGCGTTCTGACTGTAAGAAGATGATCCGCTGTACTGTAACCCTTTCGGAATCCTGCCTGCTCTATCGGTTGATAGCTATCGAGCTTCGACGTTAACCTGTTAGTTATTAGTCTCATAAACAGTTTGTACATTTGGGACAACAGGAAGATTGGCCAATAGTTCTTCAGATCTCCTTTTTTGAAGAGAAGTATTGTGAAACTTCCATTCCAATCATCTGGGACTTCTCTTCTGGGAAAACATTCGTTGAAAAAAATTTTTCAATTCTTCGAGAATAATTTCACTCCCTCCTTCAACATTTCTACAAGTATTCCAACTCGGCCCGAAGCTTATTGTTTGTTAGTTGTGCCATAGCTTGTTTTATTTCGAAGGATTCTATGTTCGGGAGTACTATCCTACTCCACTATATGTTTCATTTATTTTCCCTGTACAGTATAGGCGAGTTCCAGAGTTTAGATGCATGCGTTGTTCGCTTCTTCTTTTCACTTCTGACAGTCCTACAATATCCCACTTTATTTTGGATAGTTCTTCTTCTAATTAGTAGACCTTTTCATTTTAAGCCATCGATTGGATGTGGTGTGTGGCTAGCAGTAACTGTTTTTGTTTGTCCGTATCTATTTTGGCGCGTTTTGTTGAACTTGTGCCTCCCCCAGAATCCGTGAGGCTGACCGGTTTTCCGATGTGGTAATCTGAACTGCTAGCTCTACCCACCTGGGGTATAGAGATGACTATCAAAAGGTGCACCTATTCTTTTGAACCGAGTTCGCCGCCGTGACAAGGTGGACCTAGTTCGTCTTTTGTCAATAGGCAGGTGCAGGTGCAGAGCAACCGATTCCTTCGAATCTTGTTTTGGAACTCGGACTCGGAATATTTGGATTCGTTCGGCAACGGCTGAGTGGCATAGTCGGAATCGGAACGGAATTTGGAACTCGACTGGGATTAATAACTGAATAGTGAATCGATTATTTAATTGACTCCTCCAATTCCACAAATCCATGCACCTGCACCTGCAAAAATGAACCGAGTCTGCAGTCGGAATCGGAGTCATTGCACCTGATCCATTGATGGAACTGACTTCGTCATTGGGATATCTACTGGGGTATCGTTCCATTTTGTTTCAAGTTAAACATGTTGTGTTTTGAGAGGTATATTGGCATTATACACCACGCTTTCCGAAAGGGTTGGTGAGTGTTCGTAGTATCATAGCCGGTTAAATCAATATTTGATTTCGTCTTCAATTTTGATCCGTTTGATCAGTTGATCCGCGAGTACTTATTTGGCGAAGCCTTAATAATACCTGCCTGCATATCTACAGGAACATTCCCTATCAGCCGCTGGGACGCACCGTGTCGAGGTTGAGGACTCCCCCGCCCAGTCTGTCTTGCACAAAGTACTGAAGGACTCCTCAGTTCAGCGTCCCTCCTCTACACAAGCTGAGACCGGCACGGTTTCACAAATCTTTTACACCGAGTGACCGGGCACAAATGTTTTGACTTATTAGTCAATCCAAATGAATATTATCATATCCTGCTGCTTTTCCATTTTTAATTTTATTTAGTGCATCTCTTAGCTTATCTTTTGTTGTTTTTTCTTCTCCATTTCTTTCATTACAAATGTTTAAAATGTTCTTTCTATTGTCTTTTTACTGCCTCTTTTTCTTTTAATGGCTTATCTATATCTTTAAGTGTTATTGTATCGGTGGTTTTTGTTTTTATAAATGATCAAAGCACTCCATAAAATATTTTCTAATTTTCCTTGTTATTCAATATCTAACTTTTTTACAAAATCCTTTCATCTCGTTCCCTTTTCCGTTTGTAATTTTTCTTTTGGCAATTTTCTTTGTTCGCTATTGTATGTGGTATTACATCTCTCTAGCTGAATTAATGAAAAATAGTTTTTATGTATCCTATATAACTTCTAACAATTTGCTGCTTCACACGTTCTTCATATGTCTTGTCTAATAGTTTTCTTCAGTTTATATTATGATGCAATAGTCTCATTCGGTATTTTTCTTCTCCATTTTTCTTTTTCTAGAAAGAGTTTAAAATTACATACACTACACTTTTTACGGATTCACTAATGTATAATGTTTTTTTTTAGGAAAACCTTTAACAAACTTATGAAAGAAACAATTAGGCAAAACGAAGGTAATCAAGTACAAGGAAGGGCGGAAGTCATCAAGACGATACGAAATATTGCAAATAAAGACGATGTATTTGCCGCTCTTACAAGAAACAATAAGTTGATGAATAGAAATGGTATTCGTTTCTCCGCAAATGGGGGAGAAATAACACTAAATGGTCAAACGATTAACATGAACGAATTTATAGGAATGAACAGGGAACATGCAAGTGCTTTTCTGTCAAATTTACCTACAGAACCGCACATATCAATAAGTGATACTAATTCTATGATTGATAATTTCTCTTTAAATAACTGGTCTATACCTAATGTTGAAGCATTTGCTGGATTTGCCTTAACCTTAATTAGCGTATTCTCAAACGATATTCAACGCATGATAATGGAATTAGTAGAAAGAGCCATAGAACTTCTCTTGACATATTTTAGACAGATAGTTAACGAAACATTTGGTAGCTCAGCACATCAAGAAATAATGGTCGCTGTAATGGAATACTTCGCAGGACAAGCATCAACGGTTCTTCAGAGATACTCTACATGGCGCAGTACTGGAAATCCGCATTACTATGAACCGTACTTTGTAGAAGTACCGGTAGATCCATCTGAAAGGAGGACATGGATCTTTAGCAGAATTGTTAAAATTTGTCATGAAGCTGGTGACTTTATTAATGATATCAAGGAGTATTTGAAAGCGTGGCTACTAAATACAATATATACTAGACAGATCAGAGATGAAGCTATTGCAAGAAGGAACCAGCATTCGTCCAGAAACACTAATAGTGTGGGTTGCGCTATTTGCGGAGGAAATCATTTTTCACAACCATAACAATCAGTATCAACATGTATTTTATATATTTTAATAAACTTATATAGAAGTACAAAACTATGTTTACGTGGGTTTTTTTACTTCTCCTCAAAATCAACCTTTCGAAGAATTCTACACGTTTTATTTAAAATAAATGTTGCATTTCACATATTTTTCTTATTTTAAGATTCCCAAAATTTCATAACTGTCATAAATTTGAATTGTCATATCATCTAAATACATCATTAAATAAATGAGAAAACATTCATAAAATATATTGTTCACCAACTTTCACTGTATATATGCTATTAATATTAAACCCTATACTTCCCTAATAGCACACGTACGTCCAGTGGACGTCCATATTGTAAAAAAAATCCAAACCATTTTTTCAAAAACGTCTGAAGGTGCCCCCTTGGGGGGCACTTTCAGTCGGGCCTCTTCAGACGGAGAATGGAGCAGCTTCAGACACAATTGGAGAAATTACAATCTTATATAAATGTTTTAGAAATTATTTATTACAATATTTCAAACTATGTTATGATACTTAATCTAACCCCTAATGCATGTTGAAGTTTTCCAATGAAACTGAAAAAGACCATATTGATTTATGTCGCTGTGTACCCTGCTCAGAAGGAGTTGGCAAAAGGGCTACAATTTCTGATAAATAAGTACTAGAGATATCTGGTACGATGGGGTAGAAAAATTTATAATTTACTGTAGATGACATTCTCAAAAATGAAATGTCAACATTCCCATCATCACATTTACCAATGATTCTCCCAACATAGTACACCATTTTTACAGTCCCAAATTTAACAAAGCACAAAATGTTCAATTTTCAATTCACTCTTGTCAAAATTTTGCTGTGGTTCTTCTTTTTCTGGGGTGTCAGTTATTGAGTTTCGATTTTGGATATCCTCGTATCTTCTCAGGACTTAAATAACAGCAAGGCTGTTGAGAGGGCATAGGCGTAGAGTTTTGGCAGCTTGATGTTGATGGAGTGTCTATTGGTTGCTGAAAGTGTTCTCTTAAAATTTGGGGAGATGAGGGTGGTTTTTCAGATTCTAAAGGTTGTAGACTTGCAACTAGTTGGCATGTTGAAGGTTCATCAGCAAGAGTTTCGTCTGGAGGATTAAGTCTCTCACTGACCAAACTGGGAGCAAACATACCGTCGGTGAAAATGTGTCTGACAACTGGAAATATTCCTATTTTTTTTAAAGAATTTATAATGCTCTGTGGTAACATGGTACGGCTATGTGCTATTCCAACACATGCGGCCACGTGATAGATTCCAAAATGTTGGCCTTGGTTAGACTTCAACCATGAATCAATTGTAGCATTATAATATGTTTTAAAAGGTTTCATCAATCCCACATCCAGTGGTTGCATCATGTTGGTACAATGGGTTGAAACTGTTAAAATGTGCACGCCATTAGCTCTTGCTAGCTCTATTGCCTCAACTGACAAGTGGCTCTCATGATTGTCGCAAATTAGAAGCATTCTTCTCTTTTCAGAGGAACCTGAACATTTCATTAAGTGCTGGATCACATGAACGAAATTGGAAGTGGTCATCCAACCTGACTGATGAGCCAAACCCAAGGTCCCGTTTGGCTCCATTTATCATGTGGCTCTTAAAGTGCACTCTCGGAAATACTAGAGCAGGAGGTATTATATTTCCAGTTGTATTTTTAAACAAAACTGTATTAACCAGAATTCCTCTTTCACCAGGACACATAATGCGCCATAGGGAATTTGAGCAGCTCCAGGTAATATTAGAAGGTAAGATTGAAGGTAAAAGGGGTAGAGGACGAAAGAAAAAATATTGGCTACGAAACATCAGAGATTGAACCCACACAAGAGGAAATGAATTAATTCATCAATCCCAGAACAGAGAAAAATTTTCCATATTGATCGCCAACCTCAACAGAGAAGGCACTTAGGAGGAGGAGGATAATCAAATGATAACATATCACACGAACTGATTTTCACGGACACGGTGAGATTTTTATATATTGCTGATGATGCTGAAGGGGCTTGTGCGCATTATATACTACTGTTTTTTGACGGCATCTACAGGGATAACACTACTTACCTAAAAATCGACTAAATAGACTATCCAGCTAATAAAAGTAAATAAAGGACTAAAACAAGCATGCAGTATGTCACCCTTACTGTTTAATTTATATATTGAGGCAGCCCTCCAAAATTGACAAAACTACTGCCAATGAATGGGAAGTCCCATAGGAAATGATGTACTGTTCTCCCTGAACTTTGCGGATGAAGACGTACATACAGAGAATATGTAAAATGGGGGTTACAAGTCACCATGAAGAAAATAGAATATTTAGTTATCAATTTAGATGCAAGCTTTGAAGTGTTGATAGACGAGGACGTGGAAACCAAACAAGTGGAAAAATTTAAATATTTAGTAGCAGTCATTGATAAGAACGGCTTGGGTGAAACCGAAATTAAACACCGAATTAATCAGGGACGTAAAATTGTAGGATGTCTAAACTCCTTATAGTGGGATCGCAACATTTCCAAAAGGAACAAAAAAGAATTGGGCAAACCATGGTTGAATCAGTTCTTTGTTATGGCTCTGAAGTATGGACAATTAATGCAGACGCGAAGAAAAGATTGTTGGCAGTTGAAATGGATTATTTGAGAAGAAGTGCTAGAACATCAAGGCAGGAAAGGAAGACCAACGAATCTATAAGAAATAACATGAATGTTACATAGACGGTCATTGACAGAATTGAAAGAAGAGGTTCAAAGTGTTTTGGACACCTATTGAGAATGCCTTATGACGAACATTGGCCCAAAAAAGTTCAGAAATGGAAGCCCCCTGGAAAAAGAAAAAGAGGTAAACCTCGACGCTCATGGAATGAGGGAATTAGAAGAGCGATGGAATCGAGAGGTTTGGAAGAGGAGCATGCCTTGGACTGAGAGGATTGGCGGAGGAAGACGGGAATACGGCGCTAGCGCTCCAAAATGTATTGTATTTACAAGTTGGATTAATGTCAAACGTCAATAAACTTATTTTAACCTTCAGTTGTGGTTTATTTCCATTAAAATAGTAATTACTTTAAAAGGCCACAAAAAATAGCTTCAGAACAATAGATAAGAGAAGGGAGTGTTCGAGTGTTGCAAAAATGTCGTCAACCTTAAAGCGGCCACCCCACTTTCGGAGTACGGTACGTGCTACAGTCAACTGCGCACAAGTAAGAGAGGGTGGTTTTAGTTGGTAGGCAGGATAATAGATACGTGAATCGTTGGCACTGTTATCTTAAGTACTCTAAATTAAACTAAAACCCAAATTTTAGGGACTCAAAATGTAGGTAGCATAAAAAATAAAAAAATTTCAAAACCCACTCAAAGAAATTCTGGGTGCGCCACTGGATCTAGTAGAAGACGATTTAGCGGGACATGTCGCTAAAAAGAAATGATAATGATATGAACTAAGATAGAAACTTATGGAGAAATGTAATGAGAAGAACCGACGCTACATAGGGATGAAAATAAAGAGAACGATTTACATTAAACTTTTAAATAGATTTACTATTGTTCTGTCCCAAACTATATTCCAGTAGAAAAACTTAATATGTAGCACACGTGCAAACGGTTTAAAGATAAAAAGATGAGGAATACATGTAATTACCCTGTTAAAACAAATGCTAAAATAATATATAAAATAATTATAAGCACAGTACCACAGAACACTAATCACAACTTGAGAAATCATTCTATATGTAAAATTGGTTGCCAGATTTCAGTACAATTTTATTATATATTACAAACGCACATAACTGCCTGAAGCCCTGAATATACAGTCAGTGTTTAATTTCTTTAACTATATGTTATCGTTTACATTTTTTTAAGGATTTGTAACCACATAAAAGTAGGAGAAACTATGACCGCGAGAATATTCGAATCCGGCGATTTCTTATCGATAAAATAATTTAATTTTGATTGTATTTCATCTTTGAATCGATTCCAATCGAACTTGAATTGCCCCTCCCGAACCCCCCACCACCAACCTTTTTGGCTAACCTTAAAGCTCTTAGAACAAAAAGTATTTTTACGTTTATTTTAATTCTTTGTTGTTATTTTTATATTTTTTATACGCTTAATAATTATGAGTTCCTAAGATAAAGTAAACGAAATTTAGTTTAAATGTAAGTACTTATGGTAATTGTTTTATACAATAATATTTGATGCAAATTTATTTTTCATTCTGAACATTTATGTCCCTGACATATCAATAATCATGAAATGATTTTATAAATGTATTTTATCTTATCAGTTTTAATTAAGAATAACCACAAGATAATAAAATTTTACTCATTTGTCAATAAAATTAAGGGACTCCTTAAATAAAGAAATTTTTCTACATCAAGATTACATCTAGGTAAATTCTATGATTTTAATCTTTAAAAAGTTGTTTTAAGTAATTCAAATTTACCTAATATTAATACCTATATTTTTGTTTTAGATATTTTAAAATGGCTGCAATAAATGAATTGAGGGTAACATTATTTAGTTGTTGTATTCCCCAGCCACCCAAAAGAAAACATCACATTGATAGGTAATGTGTAGTGTACTAAATTAAAAAGTAGAGATTGTTTTCAACATTCTTTGGTTTATTTGTGTCTAATTGTTCTATTCCTATAACTTGTCATTGTGTATAATTTTAGATTGGTTAGGTGTAGATATTGGTGATTTATGGTGTCTTCATTTGTCTCTGCTTTAGAGCTTAGTTACTAATATATTTCAATACTGATAAGAATTAAGCAGCTCATGAACCAATTCATTATTTATTATAGCAACATTCGTCGTACCTTTTTAAAGCCTAAGTGAAAAAAAATGAAGTGATAACAATTATAAATTAAAGTAGAATTCAAGGTTTAGAAGAAATATTATCAGTATTTGTTGAGAATAACAATTAACATTATAATTTACTATTTTTTGGGAGCAGGCCTCAATAATTTTGGCTTTAAAATAAGATTATTTGACATTTCGATTTCCCCTTTGGAAATTGTTCTCAAAATACAAAACATTAATAAATTCAACAAATTTTGTTTTTCTTACTTGGTAAAAAATTCTTCTAATAATTTAATTTTATCTGATTCATTCATATTGACAATTCAGATATATATTATACATTTTAAAGTAGATGACTTTAAAATGATATTGTCAATATTTTTTAATTTAGTTCCTGGGATAACTTTATTGGAAGATAGTTCATTTGATAACATGAAATCAACTTTAACTTAAGCATACAATGATGACACCCTCCTTCACACATGTACTTAATAATCTAATAACTTAATTTTAACAAAATAACAAATTGTCAATATGCTCTTATTGTTTTATAGTATTGTTTAATAATATATACAAAAAATATTTATAATTATAGTATTTCTTAAGAGAATGATATAAGGATTAAATATTTTTAAAGTACAGTCAAAATCGTTTATAACGAACTTCAGGGGACTGGTGATTTTTGTATGTTGTAGCCAGTGTTCTCTGTAAGCGGTTCTATCGGTTATAATGAACAGGTTGCTATAAACGATATTACCCTGGTAGGAACAGTTAGTTCGTTGTACCTAGGTTTATGATGCAAAAATGTGTTACTTTATTATATAACATATTCTAATAACATTTAACATATGTGTTTATTGTACTTACGTAAATCTAAATATGTACATACCTATATGTATCTTGAAATATCTATATTGAAATAAGAATAAGTAGTCAATAAAGTTTAATTATAATATAACAGCTTCTCAAAATCTTTGCATTATAAAAATATAGGCATACATATACTATTTATTTTTAAAAAGACAAAGAAAAGTACATACATTTATGTATTACAAAATATGTAAATACAACATTTTACCTGAATATTTAATGAAAAAAGTCTGTAATTTTTATTTGTCGCCTTTCATGAACTTCTAAAAAAAAACATTTTTTCAATTGATCTGGAAACAATTGATAATGATTCTTTCACACTCTAGGAAATTTCAGCAGTCTGAATAAATTCTCTTATGGTGGAACAACATCATACGCTTCAGCAACAGTAGGGATTATGCCGAAATCTTCAAATTCTTCATCAGCCGCATCAGCACTTTGTTTATCACTAGTTTGGTAACTCAGTATGTTGTCAATATCTGACAGCTCGTACATATTTCGTCATCCACTCTTACATAGTCATCTGCAGAGCAGTCAGAACTGAGAAGGGAAACAGCATCCTGCAAATGCGTTTGTGCAATATCAGTGTATGCGATTCCTGATGGTTGTAGGTCGTTAGTTAGGTCGGAAAAACGAAATCAGTTGATGATCGTTTCCTTTCGCACACATTCCCATGCCTTTGATATCATTAGTTTAGCGTCAAGAATACTGACTTTCGTATCGTTGTTATTCTCTCTCTTTTCGATGATTTTGTACATCAATTCTTTCCGAAAGCATGCTTTAAACTTCTTATAACTCCTTGGTCAATGGGCTGCAGTATGGACGTACAATTTGGAGGCAGAAAAACGAGTTTAATTTGTTTTAACCTGTCAACTGGGGGTGGGACGGACAGTTGTCGACAAATAAAATTATGTAATTCTTTTGTTGTAACAGTTCACTGTGTGGTTTTATTAAAGTTTTTTAAAAAATAGCCGACGTCATCCAGGCTTTTTTAGTCAAATCGTAATCAACATTCATGTTTTTTAAAACAGCGCGGCATTTTACTTTTTCCTATCACCAAAAGCTTCCTTTTTATGGAACAGAACATGTTGGCTGCAACAAGAACTGTAACTCGCTCTTTTGAGAGTTTACCAACGGAACATTTCTCCCCTTTAAACTTTAATGTGTGATCAGGTGTCAGTCTAAAAAATAACCCCATCTCGTCAGCATTAAAAATTTCATCATAGCTATAGCTGGACCTGATTGTAGGCCACACATTTTCAATTCAGTCATTTCTAATTGATATGTCAACAACTACTGCTGACTGCTGAAATTTTTCCATGGACAATATTGTGGCGAGCTTGGAAACGTTGAACCCAGGAAGCATTACACTTAAAATCCTTCTTCAAAATCACAGCGAAAGCGTCAGCCTTTACCTGAAGCATCGGCCCACTCACGGGTATATTGTTTGCGCGTTGTTGTTTGAACCAATCGAGCAAAGCACTTTCAATGTCACTGTGATTTGATGACCGAACACGTTTTCTTTTTCACAATGTTCCAAACTGTTCCTTAATAGTAAATTGTTTCCGTGACATGTTTTCTATGAAGGCTAGACACAAATGAATTCAAATTCAGAAACTCTTGGCTTGGGCCAAATGGTTTAATATAAACAAAATTTTGTAATACAATGGACCCGTCTTTGGTCTAAATGTCTAAAGGACAAGTAGTCAAATATAGATGCCTGCCCGGATGTACTATAACCATAAATTAATAAATCCTTACTTCTCATTTTGTGGTACTAAATATCAGTAATACCTGTGAGAGTTACAACACTACAATGTCCATTTTCATAACTTTACAGGATAGCACTTTAAAACTTATTATGATGTGGAAACAATATTAGATTATTTACAATACAGTGTGTAAAAATGTCATAATTGAAAAAATGGATGTTGTATCATCTGAGGTACAGATATGTACTTGAAATTGTACGCTGTAACCAATATTTTAACTGCTAGTGTTCCAAGAAATACATTTGCTTTAACCGATTTGTTCATTATAAGCAATATAAATGCGTTTTTTTGTATGTCAGTTTATGATACCTACTATTTTGTTTGTTATATCCGATTGTACGTTATAGCCGGTGTCGTTGTAAACGATTTTGACTGTAGTACTTAAAATGTATGAAATTATTTACTCATTTACCTAACAAAATAACTACTTTCAGGTCAATGATAGGATATCCAACGAATTTTCAACACACAGGTCATGTAGGTAGTAGAGATGTAGAAATGCCAGGTGAACAATTGATAGCACTTCAAAACCAAATGAAAAGTAAAGGTGGATATGAAACTCCTTACAAGGTAATTTTTTAAGAATATTTTTTTTTCTCAGCGATCTATATATTTGAATTTATTATGTTCCTTTTTAAAAATTTTACTTTGTTTTATTACCTGCTTCCCAATCATGAATATAATACAAGAAGCCTTAATTTGAATTTGTCACTTCACAGATTGTCTATAATAGAGAGAAGTCCTTGACTTCTCCCTGTTATAAACAATCTGTAACAACTATCCAACAACTCCTCTGACAACCATTGTTTTGGTGACGTTTCGGCAAGGTGACACTTGCCATTGTCAAGTCAGATTAGTTCTGCTTCTTGATGTTCCAGGAGAACTGATTTCCCGGTCGCTGCACGCTAAGTTTAAATACCTTTTAGCGCTTCTTGTGATTGGTTCCGTGTGCAGAGTGGGCGAGGTCTTCTTCGCTATTTTAATTTCTACGTTTTTCTGCAGAATTGGTTTCCACATATTTGGGCATCATCTCTGATATTTAAATTTTTTGAATGTTTTTCAATTTCTATGGCTTCCCTGATTACACGTTTGGCCTTATTTTCGATGTTGGCTAGCATTGTTGTTCCATTTAAGCTTTTTTATGTCCTGTGTTTATGGCATGTTATGCTAGGGATGAAGTCTTCTCTTTTCTTTCGATGGCGTTTCAATGTTCTTCGTGTCTAACTTGTATCCTTCGATTTGTCTGCCTGATGTATGATTTATCGCAGTCCTCACACAGGATTCTGTATACACCTTGTTATTGTGTGTTGTAGTTACTAGTTAACTAAGAGAACATAATTGACATATTATTTCCATCAATGTGCACACCAAATATGTATAACCATAGCTGCCTAGCATAGAATATTGCATTGCTACATATATGTGGCATTGAAAGGTTTTGCATATAGTCAAGAGACAAGCAACTGTAGTTCTCTCAATCATCACATGCTTTTAAGTTATATTTTGTTTTGTTCATAAAACGTCTCAGCTTTCCGTAGTGGAGATCTTTCTCAATATTTAATTTCCGCACTTCTTCTGAATCGTCACAACTAGCTAATAGTTTACTTTGATACTGATCGCAAGTACCACATGTATCACTTCTCGGTAAGCCAAAATTAAGGTTAAATTCGGTGTGAAATATTTTCCAATATATTTTATAAAAATACTTTACACCGGGATGTTCTGCTATGAATATTTTATGATGTAGGTAGTTCAGATTGATTTCCTAGGTGGCGTAGTTATCTTACTGGACAAACAGTGTGACTTGACATGCTAGCCTTTTATATGTATAGATTGTATGAATGTATGATTGTATGAATGATTATGATTTCTTAATTTTCCACAAATGTTTATAAACACGAACATAAGTCAAATCGATTAAAACCTATTATTTTATTTCAGGAACCAGATTGGTGCCAGTGAGTCTGTAAAAGTTGGTACAATATAGGATAGATTTAATATTTATTTATTTGTATTAATCAGATTTATTTCCAAAATGTATATAGGTAATAAGATATGGAAACAAGTTTATATGTTATAAATATTATCGAACAAAATTATCACATTATAATTCGTGTATATATATAATTTGTTTCAGTAAGATTTGACTGTTTATAAAATAGTATCTTAGTTTCTGGTATTCATACTCATTTTGTAAAACGTTATTATTTATAAGCTATTAAGAATTATTAGTAGGACAGACCGATATTTTCATACTGGTTCTAAAACCCATTTTAAAAATTATTTTGTTTACTTTCTTTGTTGACGGGTTCCTTTACTTAAAGGTTCTATTTTTATATGACCAAATATTTAAAATAAAGATTTCTTATGCATCTTACTTTTTACTTACCTATTTTTTGCAATGTCGCCTTTCCAGGAATCCAGTGACAAACAGCAGTAAGATTCTTAATGGTTGTCCTCGAGCGACTAGTACGCACTCGAGGCGCATCGCCCCGCCTCGAAGTTTCCTATTGGCCTGACATCTGCTTCTTTTTAGCTTATACTCTTTGGCTGAGTTTTATGTTCGACTGAATATTTGGTGTTTTATTTCGACAACCTTAATATTGTCATGTAGAAATTCTTGTCTTTGTCAAGGCAAGTCACTGAAGTTTCACACCAGATGTTTATTTCGACGACGAATATTGTCATGTAAGAAATATCTTGTCTGTCTTAAGACGAGCCATCAGGCAAAACATTTACGAGTCCATACCCTGGAAATGGATTTAAGTGGAGGAGCTAGCGTCGACGTTTCCGAAGCCCTCTACAGAGCACCCGGATGTTACACAAGGTGGATAGACCCTTGTATTTACCCCGAGGTGACATGGTAGCAAGAATTTCTTTAGTTATGTACTGAAGAGATACCTCATAAAGACACACCGATCGAAAGAGATAATTCAGTCATGGTCGCGTGACGTCATATGGGAGTCAATTCTAAGGTATCAATGGTAGAATCTTCTAGCCAAATCTATGGAACATCCCTTACATTTAAGATGACTATTTATTAGCTGAAAAATTTATTCTCAAATGTCGGTCTCAAAAAGGTCCAGAATGCTCCTATTCTGGCAGTGGCATATCCTAACGTTTCTCAGCACCTAAACATCCATACTAAGTGTGACTTAACTTTCAATCGAATTTTAATGTCTCTTATGCCAAAGTCAATGTTTGGTTTCCAAATTTTGACAATGAGAATCCAGTTGACTTTCAGCATCAGATAGCCAAGCTTAATAATCCATGCAGGATTTTCACGGATGGTTCTAAATCAAGATTGGGAGTCGGTTGTACTGTATATATTCCGGATTACAAAGAATCCCTGATGTTCAAGTTAGGTAAACAATGCTCTATAGGGGAGAAGTGGAGGTGGACAGGAGTTGAACATTTCAAATTTCCCACCTTTATATGTGAACTATCAGTTCTGTACTTTCTCACTCGATGTATTACTGGTTGTAGCATTTCCTATTCGTTTAGTGTTGGAGAAGCACATGTGTTGTAATAAGGAGAGTACATTACTGATTTTCATTTTTGAAAGGTAAGAATTTAACTTGTGAATATCGATGAAAGAATTTGTGGAAAGTGATTTCGAACATAGCTATGAGGTTCGAATCGGTTTGTAAATGCCCCTTTGTCCGCTTCTTGTCGATCGACGATGATAAATATAATAAAAAGGTGAAGTTGTGGAGTAAAAGTGTTGATTTATTGACAGCTACTGGTAATTACACAATATGATGTTCGTTGGGTAACTACTTATGATAGACTGTGCTCAAATAGCTCAATCCCAATTTATAATCTCACAAATAAATCATGCCTCAGCACCGAGGTTTGCTTTCTATCATACCATACTTTGAACTATTGGCTTACATTACAATTTAATCTAGCCTTAATTGCGACACTTAGGAAGTTCAATTAGAAAATATATTATTCTGCAATTTATTTAGTTGTAGTAAATGAACTAATTATTAAAATATACGATATGGTTTTACAATGCTCACTTATACACGGTGAAACTATAAAGATTAAGAAGTTAAGAATAATGTGAGATTACAAATTAAGGGGTTAATTTGTGATTAAACATATTGGCGACTATATAAAAAACAAACAGACGACCAATAGAAAATATTTAAAACATATAAAATAATAATATAACAATAATCATAACACTAATTCACTCGGTTTTTGAATTATTATCTCACCCGAGCAGTGCTACCTATAACTTGCTTATTTATAATTTATGTTTCAGCTAAACTATCTAATTCAAATCTAAGCTCATTAAGTGAAACTGATCTAGGAGGGGCTTTCTTTAAAGTACTACTTAAATTTGGTTGTGATAAAGTATGTCTTCGAGGCGCTTGATGAGATTGGATGCAAGAACCTTGATGCCTTTGTTTTCTGGCTCTCATGGAGTTTCGAAAATATCTGACTACCTTCCATGTAATGACAATCAACATAACAATGAATAAAGTGACTAGTTCCGTGGTTAAATGAGGAATCCACTGATGGTTAGCAATGGTTTTCCACGTGTGTTCGGATATATCTTGGTCAAACTGCTCTGCCTCAAGTACAATATTTGGCAACTCATCTCCCGAATATCTATATTATGTTTGGGAATGTTGTTCTGCCCTATGATTGGCCTCTGCATAAGCTCTTCAATGGGACTGACAGGAGTCTTTAAATAGCTTCCAATTGCTGTTTCCAATCCGTTACTGGATGTGAGTAACGTTATGTTTCGAGTCTGAGCAACGCATTTTGGTGACAGTTTTATAAAACTCGTTTGATCGATTATATGTTCAAGTCGAGAACCATCACACATTATAGCGTATGGTGGAATGACTAACCACAGGTTCGGTGTGCTCATTTTCAACCAACTGGCTTCCTTTATGGTGTATTCTATTATATTGCAAGTGGTATTGGTAGTTCTATCATACAATTCATTTAAGATACAGTTTGGCTGAGTATCCATATTAATGATTCCCATTGGTGAACATGCCAACTCTTCTTTGTTTAATTCCTTTATCTTCATATGTCACTTCAAAATAATGTAAGTTATTGTAATCTACTGCAAGTAGATTCCTTGGGACCAACAACAAGCGCACAACACCACCTCTCACCGACAACGGAAGAGCTGTAACTCTCAGTAGGTTGTATCTACTGTTGTCAATTATTAGGAAATAGCCAATAATTACGACGTCTCCTTCTTCATTTTGTACGACCGTATCTATTATTGGCTGTCTTCTTATATTTACTACTTGTGGAAGGAACCTTGTAGTATTCGAAATGATTGACTCTATTTGTCCAGGTTTTATAATATCTATGAAGTGTCCATGATTGTAATGAAGATTTAATATTTTTCCGTATGTGATCAAATATTCTTTTGCATATTCCATTGCACGGTTATAAGTCGTATGTACTCTTTCTCTAACGTGTCAGCTCTATATGAGACATCACTTAGCCCCTTAGACATTTCCTTAGTTCCGTTTATTAGTGATTCTCGGAACCTATTTAGATTAAATTATATAATACAAAAAGCTGGGTCAACTTGAGATTATGTTTGTTCACTGTTTTATTGTAAAATGCTCCACTGGGAGGACTGGGACATAGCATGCGAGGGACATAGCATTCCCTGTTGCATTATTTTTAATTTGATATTATTTAAATATATTTTTGCTTTGTTATAGTGTAAAATGCCTCATAAGTGGAAGAAGAAAAATCCTGAGAGGACTGCTCCGTTAAAGTTTCGCATTATGGAGGCCATTCAGCAGATTAAAGAAGGCAACAGCATAAGGCAGGTATCAAAAACTTATAGTATTTCAAAATCGGCTCTTCAATGCCATTTGAAGAAATATGATGAAGCTCCCAATAAGGAATTCGTTGTTATTTGCTCTAATTTGAATATGTGGTATGGTATTATCCGAAGAGAAAAATTGGCTCTAATAGAATACATCCTGGCTGCAAATAGAAATGCATCATGATTTAACAACAATTCAGGTCAAAATTCTAGCGTGATAATATGCAAGTGCCCTGAAATGTAAAGTAGGCAATTCATGGAAAAATAACCAAATGGCATGATATGACTGGTTCAAAGGCTTCATGGAACGCCAAAAAAAACTTTCGCTAAGGTCTCCAGAAGCTGCAAGTCTGTAAAAATTAATTAATATACAGGATGTTCTATTTAAAATAAGCAAGTTGGTATTGGCCACCGTTATCTGATACACCCCGTATAAAAAGTTTTTATGGAAAAATTGCGCAACTAGAAATACTAATCGATGTGTTCGACTGTTTTTTCGAATACTCCCTCATTTATTTATTAGCTAATTTATTCCATTTGGCTGACACACAGTGTATATCTATGGTTCGTACATATTATCGTGATAAAGTAAATTTATTTAAATTAAGTTCAAAAGACATGGACGTATAATACGTCATGCAAAAGACAAAACAAAATATTAGCAGATAAGCCAAATAAGAGAAAATAATCTAATTCGTATTTCTAGAGATGTCAGCAACGGGTCGTAGAAAAAAAAATATTAAAGAAAAGACACGACAATGAAAATATGAGTCGAATATACGGGAGTCAATGAAGAATAAATTTTATGAATAACCATTGTTGACTAATTCATAAGTACCGCAGGTATTAATGAAAATAAGGAAATAAGTTATTCATGTAGCTACGTGACATACATAGAGTCTTATAATTTATTATCGTAATTGTGTGGTATGAATACAGAACTTATATGACGCAACGGGACGATGTGATAAAAGGAAGAATATTTAAAAATAAAGATTAATAATTTTTGAATTCATTCATTCGTGCCACTAATTGGAATTTATTGCAATTCCTGAAATAACTATTTTAATAATCACAAAAAATACCAAATGGAAATTATTTAAGGTCCGTCAAATCTCTCTCGATGAGAAGCACCCTGGTTAAG